GAAGCATATCAGACTGGTCCCACCCATGCGGGCAGTCCAGATCCGAAATGCCAGCAAGTTCTCTCTGCACGAGAGATACAGCAACCCCAGACGATCGTTTCAGCCTTGTTAGGCATCATCAGTGAGGCATAGCTGATATCTCCCTAGGCACCGTGAGCAAGGGGTCCACGTCTGGATTATCCCTTTAAACTTTTGGAGAGTCAAAAATGGGTCGCAAGAGAATACTGAGAACGGGCAGCAGCTGAAATAGCCTGCCCTTCGGTCGGTCCCCGCTCAGTTCTCAAGCTGATTTTTGCTCATCTTGTGCCATTACAGAGAACATATCTGAAGCATATCAGACTGGTCCCACCCATACGGGCAGTCCAGATCCGAAATGCCAGCAAGTTCTCCCTGCACGAGAGATACAGCAACCCCAGACGATCGTTTCAGCCTTGTTAGGCATCATCAGTGAGGCATAGCTGATATCGCCCTAGACACCGTGAGCAAGGAGTCCACGTCTGGATTATCCCTTTAAAATTGTGGAGAGTCAAAAAAATGGGTCGCAAGAGAATACTGAGAACAGGCAGCAGCTGAAATAGCCTGCCCTTCGGTCGGTCCCCGCTCAGTTCTCAAGCTGATTTTTGCTCATCTTGTGCCATTACAGAGAGAATATATTCGAAGCATATCAGACTGGTCCCACCCATACGGCAGTCCAGATCCGGAAATGCCAGCAAGTTCTCTTCTGCACGAGATACAGCAACCCCCAGACGATCGCTTTCAGCCTTCTTGTTAGGCATCATCAGTGAGGCATAGCTGATATCTCCCCAGGCACCGCGGGAGCGGGGTCCGTCTGATTATCCTTTAAAATTGTGGAGAGTCAAAATGGGTCGCGAAGAGGAATACTGAGAACGGGCAGCAAAGAAATAGCCTGCTCCTTCGGTCGGTCCCCGCCAGTTCTCAGAAAGCGATTTTTGCTCATCTTAGCCATTACAGAGAGAACATATCTGAAGCATATCAGACTGGTCCCACCCATACGGCAGTCCAGATCCGAAATGCCAGCAAGTTCTCTCTGCACAAGAGATACAGCAATCCAGACGATCGTTTCAGCCTTGTAAGGCATCATCAGTGAGGCATAGCTGATATCTCTCTAGGCACCGTGAGCAAGGGGTCCACGTCTGGATTACCCTTTAGACTAATGGAGAGCAAACAATGGGTCGCAAGAGCATTCTGAGAACGGACAGCAGCTAAAATAGCCTGCCCTTCGGTGGGTCCCCGCTCAGAACTCATGCTGGTTTTAGCTCAACTTGTGCCATTACAGAGAGAACATATCTGAAGCATATCAGACTGGTCCCACCCATACCGGCAGTCCAGACCCGAAATGCCAGCAAGTTCTCTCTGCACGAGAGATACAGCAACCAGACGTGGACCCCTTGCTCACGGTGCCTAGGGAGATATCAGCTATGCCTCACTGACGATGCCTAACAAGGCTGAAACGATCGTCTGGGGTTGCTGTATCTCTCGCGCAGAGAGAACTTGCTGGCATTTCGGATCTGGACTGCCCGTATGGGTGGGACCAGTCTGATATGCTTCAGATATGTTCTCTCTGTAATGGCACAAGTTGAGCTAAAACCAGCATGAGTTCTGGGCGGGGACCCACCGAAGGGCAGGCTATTTTAGCTGCTGTCCGTCCTCAGAATACTCTTGCGACCCATTTCTTGCTCTCCATTAGTTTAAAGGGTAATCCAGACGTGGACCCCTTGCTCACGGTGCCTAGAGAGATATCAGCTATGCCTCACTGACAATGCCTAACAAGGCTGAAACGATCGTCTGGGGTTGCTGTATCTCTCGTGCAGAGAGAACTTGCTGGTATTTCGGATCTGGACTGCCCGTATGGGTGGGACCAGTCTGATATGCTTCAGATATGTTCTCTCTGTAATGGCACAAGTTGAGCTAAAACCAGCATGAGTTCTGAGCGGGGACCCACCGAAGGGCAGGCTATTTTAGCTGCTGTCCGCTCTCAGAATACTCTTGCGACCCATTGTTTGCTCTCCATTAGTCTAAAGGGTAATCCAGACGTGGACCCCTTGCTCACGGTGCCTAGAGAGATATCAGCTATGCTCACTGACGATGCCTAACAAGGCTGAAACGATCGTCTGGGGTTGCTGTATCTCTCGTGCAGAGAGAACTTGCTGGCATTTCGGGTCTGGACTGCCCGTATGGGTGGGACCAGTCTGATATGCTTCAGATATGTTCTCTCTGTAATGGCACAAGTTGAGCTAAAACCAGCATGAGTTCTGAGCGGGACCCACCGAAGGGCAGGCTATTTTAGCTGCTGTCCGTTCTCAGAATACTCTTGCGACCCATTGTTTGCTCTCCATTAGTCTAAAGGGTAATCCAGACGTGGACCCCTTGCTCACGGTGCCTAGAGAGATATCAGCTATGCCTCACTGACGATGCCTAACAAGGCTGAAACGATCGTCTGGGGTTGCTGTATCTCTCGTGCAGAGAGAACTTGCTGGCATTTCGGATCTGGACTGCCCGTATGGGTGGGACCAGTCTGATATGCTTCAGATATGTTCTCTCTGTAATGGCACAAGTTGAGCTAAAACCAGCTTGAGTTCTGAGCGGGGACCCACCGAAGGGCAGGCTATTTTAGCTGCTGTCCGTCCTCAGAATACTCTTGCGACCCATTTCTTGCTCTCCATTAGTTTAAAGGGTAATCCAGACGTGGACCCCTTGCTCACGGTGCCTAGAGAGATATCAGCTATGCCTACTGACGATGCCTAACAAGGCTGAAACGATCGTCTGGGGTTGCTGTATCTCTCGTGCAGAGAGAACTTGCTGGCATTTCGGATCTGGACTGCCCGTATGGGTGGGACCAGTCTGATATGCTTCAGATATGTTCTCTCTGTAATGGCACAAGTTGAGCTAAAACCAGCTTGAGTTCTGAGCGGGGACCCACCGAAGGGCAGGCTATTTTAGCTGCTGTCCGTCCTCAGAATACTCTTGCGACCCATTTCTGGGTTTCTGTTATACACTCAGACACATTACTGGGAGTATTATTGCTGTGGAGCTCTGTTATACACTCAGACACATTACTGGGAGTATTATTGTTGTGGGTTTTTGTTATACAATCAGACACACCAAAAATATGGAGCCTCTAGAAAAGACCGACAGATGGATTTAAGCCCAAAATAGGGAATGCACCTCCTAAATAGGGACACTTGGCAGATACGTGAGAAGATGATTGGGCAGTTACAAATTATCTTTAGCTTAATGGGTAAATTCCCACAGTTTTTTTTTGTGAATAGAAAGCTCTGGTATCAGCCTGATTACCCATAAAATGTCATAGGCAGCCGCCTAGAGCCAGGGCTCAGACAGAGGCCTAGTGCTCCTCCTGACAGGGCTGGACTGGTCCACAATAATGGATCCCTTTAGAATCCAGCTCTGGTCATATGGGCGGTGGTGGGTCACTCGCATGGTCTGCCATACAGGAGGTGTAATTGGCACAGCCCCAGGACACGGAGCCCCCAGGCCTTTACACTTTACTGCTGCTGGACATGAGCTGCAACCAGGAACACAGAGAATACACAATATATTATGATTAATAGACCTTATCCCTCCTGGGGGGGTGAAAGTTACTTTGACCCCTCTGTAAAACTGTTACAGAGATTATCCCTCTCCTGGCTGCAGGAGTAAAATTATTAACCAGTTGTGTTCCAGCAACATCCCTATTCAAATGTATAATCCCTGTATAATGTGGCTCATGTGCTTATCAGTTTTAGTACTGGTTTATTGACCTGCTACATTTTACTCCAACTGCCCTGATTAACCTTCTGCATTCCAGCAGTTAACCCCTTCAGTGCCTGTGTGTTTATATGCATGTCTACGTGCATTGGGGAGTTTGCATATTAGTCTTTGTATCCCTCTGTTAGTGTGTCTATGTTTTTTATATATGTTTGTCTATATATGAATGACTTTATATGTGTTCCCCAGCTGTATATAAGTGCATGGGTGTGTTTATATTTCTCTGAAGAGTTAAGTATGAAAATGTCTTTATGTTGCCATTTAGAATTCGTTATAAATTAATAAAGTAATATGAAATATTCTTTTTTAGATTTGCCTCATAGCTCTAGGACAGGAGCAACGGCCATTAAGAACCTAAATTAAAGTTTTCAAAGTTAAAGGAATATAATTTGTTGTATCCTTGATCAACCCATGCCCAAAGTGTCAAATAAAAAATGTTTATTTATTTATCAATGACAGTTCTATTTAGCCTTAAAAACAATATATAATTGTTGTCAGTTTGTGAGAACACTAAACCTGCTAAACAGGGGTCCTGATAAATCAAGTTTATGAATAACAATCGAAAAACATTTGTCTTGGAACTGTAACACCAATATTAGCAAACACTTCCTAGTCTGACACAGTGATTGCTTTTTAGCAAGTAGGCGAATTGCAAATCAGATCCTAATCTCAACGCTTGGCAGTTAACAGTAAGATAATTAGCAACAAAAGGTCACGGAACCAAACCTGTTTGGCTTGTAATTTATTTTTATTCTTTTTAAGGATTCACCTTTTTTATATTAAAATAAACCTCAAACACAAGAATAGGTGTGTCCCAAACTGGATCCACCGCTTATTTCCCAACCAGAATGATAACTTCTCCCTGACAGCTGGCCCCAGTCTTTTGTCACCAAATGCATGTGTAAAAAAAGCAGTCAGACCTGTCACTCTGGGTGTGCAAAGCGAAACCTAGTAACAGATTCTTTGAGCATGCGTTCAGTAACAAGTTTCCATAGCATTCTGTGCTCTGTGCCTTGCACACCTGCTGCTTCCGTACTCCTTTCCACTACACTACGCTTGATGTCCAGGAGGAACTAACCATCCAACAATCTATTTGGATCTGACCATCTATAACCAGGAGAGGACAACTGTAATCATGGTGAACTACAGGTTTCTGTCCAGCAGTAAGTCCTCCTTTATTATTATTATTATTACTGGTGTTTATATAGCGCCAGCATATTCCGTAGCGCTTTACAATATTATCAAAGGGGGAGATTTAACACTAAATGAGACAATTACAAAAACTTACAGGAACAATAGGTTGAAAAGGGGACTGCTCAAACGAGCTTACAGTCTATAAAAAGTCTATATAAACTGCTTTCTACCTGGGGATTAGTAATAACTCTTTGCAGCTTCATGTATGGAGTTGTGTTTACTGTTAGGACTTGGGTGATCCAAAATTTAACTTTTAATCCATTAATGATCAAATGTTGCACTTTGCCGTCATCACATGTTTGTACCCTAAAGACGCAAGGCCAACAATAAATGCTCTGTCGATTTAACATCTGCAGCTCTGTCCTGCCCTGTCTTTGCAAATGATTGTGTCATTTCATTTTAGAATATATTTCTTTAAAAAAAATTGTTATGGCGACAGTCTTTTTGTTGTTGTATTTTTATCTGTAATACTTGCATTGAATACGACTTTAAGTGCACTACTTTTAGTATTTGGCAAATTCTTGGGAGGGGTTTTACAATGACCCTGGCAATTCTCTACTTTTAAAAATGAAAGATAAAAGTGCTAAACAGGCATTCAAAAGGAGAAAACAAAATGGGTAAAACTGTCTCCTTAAGGAATGAATATGCAGGTATGTATGATATATTTATAAACACAATAATGTACAAATATATTCGATGATGAAGCTACACACTTAAGTGCTAGGGCCCCCGAAGGTAATCAGCACAAATAGAAATAGAAGGTATAAGTGGAGCGCATAAGTGGATAATAATCACAAACCCATGGTGCAAATAAAGTGAACATATAAAAATAAATACTAAATGTTGCTCGGATAGGGTTGCATGTAGAGTCATATATAAAAAAAATCAAAAAAGCAAATAATAGTGTAGTATGTATAGCAAATGTACAAATATTTAAAAGATATGTAATAACAATTTATTATTCCAAAGAAAAATAAAAAACAAATAAAAGGAACAACTGTGCATCTGCTTACAGCAAGCATGTCCAACTAGCGGTCCGTGGGCCGCATGCGGCCCACAATGGACATCTTGGCTGCCCGGCGATCTGCGAGTGCATGCTTAGTGTTAAAGCAGTGTCAGTGAGTGTGTGTGTGTGTGTCAGTGAATGAGTGTGTGTCTGTCTGTGTGTGTGTGTGTGTGTGTGTGTGTGTGTCGGTCAGTGAGTTAGTGTGTGTGTTGGTCAGTGTTGCATTGACTGCAACAGGATAGTGGAGTACCTGGAGGTACATGGAGGCACGCAATGCCACGTCACATTTCAACATGACATCGACGTGCTCCACCTTCACCAGGTTTCAAGAAGTAGCAGAAGGATCCGATTTGGCAAAGGGTGCAGACGGTGCCATTTGGGGTATACCAGAGGCCAGACTCCGGAGCCGCATACTGGCAGCGGCAATGTGAATGGAGTCTGCTTGTTGGCTAAAGTGGGATACTGGGATTTAGTAGAGGGTAGGTCTGGGATTTAGTAGAGGGGGGTGCTGTGGTTTAGTAGAGGTGGATGCTGGAGGTTTTTTTTTCTGTACTTTTCAAAATAAACCTACGTTTCTATGAAAATGTAAGGTTTATTTTTTTTTGCGGCCCACATAAATCAAACCTTATTTATGTGGCCCATGCTAGACTTTGGCATGCTTGGCTTACAGGATGAAAGAAAGTGAGCATATGTGTGCCCTCTCTGCTCCTCGGTCAGCAAGCAGCTTAATTTAATAAACTCCCAGTGGAAGGTTCGGGGGATTCAAGCTCCACCCACAGCGTGACGTCAGTGCGTTGTGCGTCTACGCGTTTCATCTTCCAGCTCTGTCAGGATGTCGGTGAGTATCGGACTCAAGCTCTGCTCTGTCTGACATCATCACAGGGGGCCCAGTCGCGCTGTTAAAGCACCCAGCGCTGACCGGGCCCCCCTTAAAATCCATATCCCTGACAGCATGGGCCACCCAATGGACACCTTCATGTGCGGCCCCGGTAGGCAGCGAGTACCCAGTAGCAGGGGTCCGCAGGGTGGCCGGGCCCCCTTGACTGACGGGCCCGGTCGCAGTTGCGACCGCAGTATGTACACCAGTGTATGTGTATCAGTGAGGGCGTGTGTATTGACAGGAAAGGGGGGTGTCGAATTTAGTTTAGGGGGTGCCTGAGTTTACCCATGCATAGGACAGCACAAAACCAAAATACACCACTTGACAATGTAATAGTTAAGTTGTTATTTTACATTAGGCAGTGGCTTCTCAAAGCAGCTATCTCTGTAAACTGAAAAATCCCTTTCATTGTTAGCCACTCGGCACACTACCACCTCCTCCTCCTTGTTGCAGCAGTATAAATCACAGTGTACAGCTAAAGTGCAAGCTTTGTGTATGCTGAGAATTGAGAGTAGCCAGCCCAGACAGAGTGATTAAAGACAATGGGTGTAATGTATCTCTGATCTGGAGACAATGGGTGTAAAGCAGCGTCTTCTGGCTTTGAGGGTGGGGGAGGGGGGAGTGAGGAGTTTATCCTCTCCTGCCCATACTGAGCATACTCAGATTGATGGTTCCTACCGCAGTTTTTGCTGCTCTGTCTACTGTAAATGGAGCTTCTTCCCATCTCCTGTTTTACATCCAGCGGTGGGCTTCAGGCAATATTAAATCCTGGCAAGAGTGGGAGGTTCTGGTTGAGAGAGCATCCAGACACATAGCCGTAGACAAAGTACATAGTTATCTAAAGTAGGAAGTAGTCTAGCATTAATACCCTTCCACTTTTAGACAGTCATTCATTTCTGTGAAATGTTGTGCTTAAAATGATTTGTCTGACCTGAATTTGTTATGATAAATAGTAAACCAGCTTAATCTAAAACTGTGGCCATATATATATTATATTTTTTTATGGGGAGTGGGTGGTTGAGGCTCCACACACATATACACCCACATTATTCATTCGTGTAAGTTTTATTACTGTGAAGCCCTGTTAAACTCTCATATACATTACATCTTAACTTGAGATGTATTGCTGTGGAGCTCTGGGTTATACACTCTTTGCGTACACAATAAGACCACAGGCAGTGGGTGCCAGGCAGAACTTAGTGATTCCCTTTATCGATCGCCATACAAAGAAGGTCATACAACTTCCGATGTCGTTTCAAAAACAGCAACAAAGACACGTTTCACCAGAGCTCACTGAGGGAGCCTAAGACAATGCCATTTAGATGATACATGTTTGACCTGAAGGCCCACATGAGATGAAAGCTATGTGAGCTGCTCTGGAGAAGGGGTACACCAAGCAAGATCCGCCAGCAGAACAAAATGGACAGGGCTATTCACTAACGTGAGAATTCAAGGTGAATTCAAAGTGAACTTCATAATTAAGGCCACCATTGCCAAGCTGAGAATTTTTCAGTTTTGGTTATTTTTACCTGAAATTTTAGTAAATAACCCTGGGAATATTACAAAGCCAGGGTTAGAGGGTACCAGATTGTAAACACCCACTAAATACAGTGTCCACCAGCTGGAAACAGCATCCTTATACACTCCACAGGCAGCCAGAGAGGACATGCAGTGTGACACAGGAGAATCGTATCTGAGACACACTTTCTTTTCTACTCTGCTAAATATAATTCATTATTGTAAAGATGTTTTTTTTTTTGTATAAACAATCAATAGGTGTGTGTTTTGCTTGTGTGTGTGTTTTTGTTTGTGCGTGCTCACCAAACACAATAAAACAGGATTACATCTGAAACACAATGCCAGTCTGTGCTGATTTGCATGTCAAGCAGGGAACTCTGAGATAGTTGTGAAAACATGATTTCTAAAGTTTTTTTTTTCCAAAGTCCAACTTGAGATATGCACCTGATGCACAATTGTAATTTATATATGTATGACCAAAACTGGTATTGTGTAAAACTATTTTAGGACTGCAGCATGTGATATCATTTTCCTTTAAGACTTTAATGAATGTTATCTTTCATTCACGTGTAGAAAGGCAGGAAGTCAGTACAGGTTTCCAGGTTCGAGAACTTGTTCAATAATCTATACTAAACCTGTCATTAACGGGGAGATTTCCACTACAGACTATTTCACCAGAGTGGTGTCCTCATTGCAGTAAATTCAGTTACATGATCATGTAACAAAATGAATACATTTAATTTGCTATAATTTTTTGCAACTTCAAGCTAAACACCAACATTTGTAAACATAAGCTACTCCTTAATATTTGACATCATTACAATTAACGATGGACAAGTTTGATAATGTAATCACTTCAACCACAAAACCTCCCATCTTATCTATCTTATTAAACACTCATTATTTCGACTCACCCTTCCCTGTCTCATGCCACCAACAAGCGTAACTAAAGAATAAAAGAAGTGCAAAGTTCATCAAGTAATATAAATATATATAAAGCATCTCTACTAAATCGTGCATACAGATGGGCTTCCCTTGAGGTCTCTTCTTAACAAACCCTCTGCTCTACATACATTCTCCTTTAATGCATTCAAACTCTTGCACTGTGTATTCAAACCTTTACAAATACACTGTCAGTCTCAATCCCCCACAGTGGCATGCCCCCTTCTCTGCCCCTTCACTACGTTTTAAGGTTCCTTCTTTCTAAACAGTTTTATCTTCTGCAAACCTCTTCTTGCACCTTGAACTCCGTTCTTTCACAATGCCTTTATCACAATTCAAAAGTCCAGTGGTAATCCTTGTAAAAACAAGCATCTAATGTAGATTAAGCAAATTTGTGAAATGGCAAATAAACTTATTGCTAAAATATAGACTAATTGCAACAAAATAGATGACAGTAAATTTATAACCAATAAGCAAGCGCAAAAACAATAATAGACCTATAAAACAATCAATAAAATAGAATATAAAGTGATAAAGCAGCTATACACAACCGAAACTCCTCCAAATCAGAAATCAGTGTAAGCACTTAGTGGATACACCTATAAAAACAATGATCAACGGTGCCCTAAAATATGCATCAAAAATCAAAGATAAAGTTCTGATTTAAAATCACTTAAATATAAAGTGTCCGTGGGGTGCTCTGTAATGAGGGTGGTCTGCTACAGTCCCGATTCAGTGTCACAAGATATCCATTTTCTCCAGTAACTGAAAATTTTGCCAAGTACCATAAAAGTTACATAGGAATTCCATATAGTATAACACTGTTATTTATTCAGTATGCCCCCTTCTCTATTAGGAACCCTAACATTAACATATTGTGCTGCTTGTTTCCAAGGACCATGATAAAATATATATGTGAACAGTAGCTGGGTAGTGTTACCACTCTGTTCCTTCATATTGTGGGACCGGTCTTCTGGCAGAAGCCGAATCAAGAAGCTCTCCGCCTGGAAGAACGCTAAAGCCACAAGCCGTTATATTGCCCACACGTGTATGTATACTGAGCCGTTTGCACTTCAACGCGTTTCGCCCGCTATTATCTGGCCTTTTCAAGATAGTGGTTAGGTATCTTTAAAAAGCCCGATAATAGCGTTGAATTGCAAATGACTACGTAACCAAGCATGTGTGGGCAGTATAACGGCTTGTGGCTTTGGCTGTCTTCCGGGCGTTGAGCCTCTTGATTCTGGCAGATTTGAAGTCCTATGCCACTAGCCAGGCCTTAAAAATTACTTGCCACTTCAAGCCATAGTATGATCTCCTGGGGTGAATTTCTACGCGCCAGGGATAACATTTTCACTTGCCATTGGGAATTGTAAACCTGGAAGTCGAGTAAAGTAAAAGTTATAGTTTACACAGGGCCACTATGTGATAGAGATTTATCTGTGGTCCACAGAGGGCAGTTAGTGGTCATTCTATACAGGACAGGAAGGTGGCTTCCTATAGCTTTCTTATACTGTATGTGATACACACATTTCCTATTTGGACAAGCAATCCTTGTTACAGATGCCAGCTTATAGATACATTACTTTTTTGTATTGATTTCTGAACAGAACCAGTATGTTCTTTGTTGTCCGTCCTCCAAAGTTTTCTGTCGTGTACTCATGAATGTGTACCTGAAATAAGAGATACAAATATATTTCCAATAATTCTGAAGATTACAATATTTCTGAATAAGATTTTGCTGTACTCTGAGGAGATTGGAAGGTTAACTTAGGACACTTTCAATAAATACTTGCCGGTGTGGTATGCTTGGACACACTTTCTGTTTGGGCTGGGCAACCTGGTTAGCAACTCAGTTGTGTTTCCATTAGTCATGGGGAGCGGGGCCTTTCTTTCCTTGTTACTCCATTAGTTGTTCCTATTTTTCTATATATTTTTTCTCCTTCTAAACTGTTACACCCATATTATTTTTAGCTACATTGTGGGTCTATGCCTAATCCACTTTTTTTTACATTGCTGTTTTTGAGATTACAGATTGTCATCTAATACTAGTGTGTTTAGATTTTCCTTTTTCTTCATGTATATACTGTCTTTCAGATCTGTTAAAAATTTTAAATTAAAGGTTCAGCCCTAATCAATTTCCTGAGTGGGATGGACCAAGGTTTGTGCTCTGTGCAAGGGTTATAGTTACGCTTTAACTTAAAATATGTTTCAAGCTATAATCCCAGCATATTACTTTAATTGCCATGAATCATTTATTGCAGCGTTTCCCAAACCAGTCCTGAAGACCCACTAACAGTCCATGTTTTGTTAGTATCTCCATTGGAATAAAACAGGGAACATACATAAATCCTGGACTTTTGGTGGGCTACGAGGACTGGTTTGGGAACCACTGATTTATTGCATTTATAATAAATGGCCAAAAGAATGTTCATACCTCATAAGTGTATTTTCAACCATGCTTGTTACTTACATGTACACAAACCAAAGCACACGGGCATTTAATTTCCCAGCCAATAATAATGTGTATGTACAAAGTGAAGTACATACATAGAGGTTTTGTCAAGATTGGGGTGGTAGAATTCACATGAGCTGTTTGGAATCCTGACTGCAAATCCATTAAACACTTTTATTGTGAATGTGGACTTTGAGTGAGGCCTAATCACCAATCATCGGTGTCTGCCATATATTAATGTAGCTACATCTAGTGGGGTACCTTCCTAGAAGACTGGAGGCAGTTATGGCATTAGAACGGAGGAGGGATGTTAATGTCCATGATTTTGAAAAGTGGTAATCAGCATAATTTTGGCCTTGTGGTTTAGCTGTTATTAAATGAAAAAAAAATTCTGTGCTATATTAGAATATTTTTTTTTCTGTCATTCTTTGTTTTTAATAGAGAGATATTATCTAAGCACAAGAGTCATATTGAGAGTATTATTATTATTATTTCCACTTATATACAAACCGATTCGGTAGCGCTTTACAATATTATAAGAGGGGGGATTTAACTAAAAATAGGACAATTACAAAAAACGTACAAGAACGATAAGTTGAAGAGGATCCTGCTCAAACGAGCTTACAGTCTATAGGAGGTGGGGTATAAACATAGTGTACACATGCCTAGTGGAACATAAGTGAAAAAGGAGAGCATTTTTGGTTTGGTAGCCATATGAAAATAGACTCCTAAGAGAATCTGCTACATATATTTTTTTAAGAAATAAGGATCATGCTGGATAACATATGCTAGCTATCCTGACTGGTCTAGTCAAAGCATAAAAGTTAAACTGTGATGCCAAAGGCAATTATCTAGCCATAAGAAACATTAGTAAGTGATGCTACATAGCACACTAGGTAGCAAGAACTACTTATGTCATATAAGTGAGACACATGGTAATACAATGAGCTCTAGACCTGATGATTACCATAAAAATATAGGTGCTTGATATCATGCTAGCTGAAATTGCTTGGATTGTATCCTCTGGGATGTGGTAAAACATTATAACACTCTACCACAGTAATAAAGGAAGAAGCTAATAGGACAAAAAATGAAAATAAGTTGGTTGCCAGATAGTTGTACAAAGAATGTTTTAAGCTTTCATAGAGTAAAATATGGACTCTCAGCATGTTTAGCTGATTCCCACAAGCGGCAATGCTGTTTCACGTTCAAGGAAGACTCTGCGCCAGAGCAGGATGCCCCCCAATCCCAGGCCTGTGTGAGAGTCGGCATGGATGCGCAAAAGACTCGAACACTTCTAGTGGCTAAGTTTATCCTCATCTGGGGGAGGACAGAGGGTTTAAATGGTAGTAGTCGCTGCTTCGGGTAATCTTCCATCCGTGTGGGTGATGCGAAGAGACCAAGCCTCAGGTGGCTCTCGGCCTATGCAGGCATGAAGGTGGAGGTTGCGTCTTCTTAATATTTTCACCCTGTGGGGGCCTTATCATAACTGGCTGCATGTCTCCCTGGTTCCCCTTCACCATAATAGGCTGGTGCAAATTATGGAATCGCATTGCAATTCCAGATTTTGCACCAGAAGCGCCGCAGAACCCCATCAAGCCATGACAGGAAGGAAGCAGTGGAGCTGTGACGAGATCTCCGAGACCTCCGAGTGAAACATGTGAAGTTGCAGGAAGGGCATCCGCCATTGTGGAGTTTCAATAAGTGGGCCAGTAGTAGGGTAAACCTTCCGGAGAGGTGTCATATAACTTGTCCAGGAATCCTTGACCTGAGATGCATGCAGGATGCAATGTGGTAGCAAGATGGCTTGGATAGACACCATATATTCAGCCAAATATGCAGGAGCTCACGCACCATGTGTCTGGACAGGTTGAAGGTCAGGCTCTGCCACCCTTAGCATTTCCTTATTATATTTAAATCTTCTTTAAACTAAAGTGTGTAAGCCTTGTCCTTCAAATAAAGTTATTATGGCACATATGTCCCAACAACATTTTTAATGAAAACAGAGGGACAATTTAATTTGGGTGTGTGTCAGGCTGATTTCTAAACATATTTATTATAGTTTAAAGACACATCACTGTGAGTAAGTTTTTGCTGTGGAGCTCTGTTATTTACTCAGACACACCAAAAATATGGAGCACCTATAAAAGAGGTAGTGAAGGATAGTGAAGAGGGACAGAGGGATTTCAGCCAAAAATAGGGACTGTCCCTCCTAAATAGGGATTATTGGGAGGTATATGGTAGAAATAAAGGTTGCATTAGAATTTCAAATTAATTTTCATAATATTCACCATAATGAGTTACCCTATTTAAATGGACTTCCAGTCTTCTAGGAAGGCACTCCACTAAATGTAGCTACATTAATATATGGCAGACACAGATGATAGATGATTAGGCGTCACTAATCAACAACATAAACTGATTTTTTTAATTGTCGTTTTAAAAAACATTAGGAACCATATTACCTTCTACCTACCTTCTCTGAATATTATATGCGTTCCAGCTCCCCACACCCCTCTGTAACCTCAGGTCTACTTCTACCATTATAATTATAACATCTACTACAAAACAATACAATAAAGAAAGACATTACAAGATGTTACAATAAGGAAATAAAGAAAAGAAACGCTCCCTAATGCACTTTAATGGCATAATTAAATAACCCACCATAAAAGGTGATATTTTTTCACCATTTGAAACATTCCAGGATATCTGCTTTTCACGTTTTATAAGCAAACATACATTTAATAGCTGTCAATGATTAACTATTTTTTTGCATATCCTTTTCATATGTAACAATGTAACTCCATTATGTGTGATAATGTTTCTTATGAGGTTTTTTTTTTTTGGGTCATTCTAAGTATCATAATTTTGCATGATTGCAGAGCTAGTATTTAATAGCTGTACATTACTTATGGTGCCGACCACCGTTAAAGGGACACTATAGTCACCTGAACAACTTTAGCTTAATGAAGCAGTTTTGGTGTATAGAACATGCCCTTGCAGCCTCACTGCTCAATCCTCTGCCATTTAGGAGTTAAATCCCTTTGTTTATGAACCCTAGTCACACCTCCCTGCATGTGACTTGCACAGCCTTCCATAAACACTTCCTGTAAAGAGAGCCCTATTTAGGCTTTCTTTATTGCAAGTTCTGTTTAATTAAGATTTTCTTATCCCCTGCTATGTTAATAGCTTGCTAGACCCTGCAAGAGCCTCCTGTATGTGATTAAAGTTCAATTTAGAGATTGAGATACAATTATTTAAGGTAAATTACATCTGTTTGAAAGGGAAACCAGTTTTTTTTTTCATGCAGGCTCTGTCAATCATAGCCAGGGGAGGTGTGGCTAGGGCTGCATAAACAGAAACAAAGTGATTTAACTCCTAAATGACAGTGAATTGAGCAGTGAGACTGCAGGGGGAATGATCTATACACTAAAACTGCTTTATTTAGCTAAAGTAATTTAGGTGACTATAGTGTTCCTTTAAATGTTTACTGTTCTGCAAACTGGAACTTATGTCAAAAATAAGGTGAGCTTTTTTGCTTATATTATCACTAAATTGACAACTAAATAGTTTTGTTTAGCGACCTTCTATGACTTTGGTAGTTACCTACCTGACCCTGCCTCAACTTACTTTTAGCAGCTTTTACCTGGATTTCCAGATAAATTCACTGAGCTCTAATTTCTGGACTGTGTGGCCTGGTGTGCGCTGTGATTAGGGAAAGTGACCAATCTCCTGTCCAGCCGTAACATGTATTCCTCCACTCTGGACTGTTGGAGGTTATCCCAGTAGGCCTGTATTACAGACATCTGTTCAGCAGAGGAATTTAAGTTTCTTGGAGGCATATGACACTCTGTGCCTACAATTCTGAGACACTCTTCACCAGTGCAAGAGCTCCTTCACATTACCTACTGTTGTAGCAACTACGTTCAGCAGAGTCTCCTTCCTGGGCCTTAAAAGACCACTATAGTGCCAGGAAAACAAACTCATTTTCCTGGCACTATAGTGCCCTGAGGAAGAGGAAGGGGTTAAACACTTACCTTTATCCAGCACTGGGCTCCCTCAGCGCTGGGGACTCTCCTCCCTCTTTTGCTGAATGCGCATGCGCGGCAAGAGCCGTGTGTGCATTCTGTCAGTCCATAGGAAAGCATTCTCAAAGCTTTCCTATGGACTCTGGCGTCTTCTCACTGTGAAAATCACAGTGAGAAGCGCAGAAGAAAATGAGACAGCCAGTTGAGGCTGAATTAACCCAAATGTAAACATAGCAGTTCCTCTGAAACTACTATGTTTACAGCTGCAGGGTTAACCCTAGATTCATTGAGCTGAAGTGGTCTGGGTGCCTATAGTGGTCCTTTAAGCCATGAGGGTTCGTTGTTCCCTGCTGTCACCAACACATATGTCAAATGGGTGGGGTGTCAAATGATCTTCCTGAAGACATTGACTTGTGCACTGCAGTGGTTAAGGACTGTGAGTCAAGACTTTAGCCAAAGATTCCAGAGTAATGGTGTAGGGAGGGGGGGGGGGAGGGGCTCATTGTGACTCTCTGGTTCAACATTCTCTGCAAACCTATATTATTATACTATAAACCACCTTTGTTGGATGCTTTCCTCAAGACTAGGAATTGGCTAAGTTTAGCTTCATCCTACCTTGGATCAAGCTTTCCTGTCTGAAGATGAATTGGCTAAGTTTAGCTTCATCCTACCTTGGATCAAGCTTTCCTGTCTGAAGACTTTAATATCTGGTGGTCTTACCTGTGATTGTTATCACTGTGAATATTGATGATTGTTTCCTTATGTTTTGTAACAGAAATAAAGTTAGTGACTAATAAAATACACAAAACAATGATTCAAATACAGATTCTTTTTTTGTGTCCCCTCACATTAACACTGAAAAATATAACATATAAAACCAAAAAAAGTGATGTGATATAAAAAACCACCTCCTACTTAAATGTGAATCACTTATAACATAAAATATAATGACAGGGAAATAACCTGCTTACACAAACAGGTTAAGAATATCCACTGGGTATATTATTTATGTTTTGTGTTCCACGCACTGTTTATTTCACCTGTTTATTTTATTATTAGTTTTTTTTTTAAATGAGCAGATTTCTCATTCTTTACCTGTTCTAAGCATATATGTATGCAAATATTGAACAGATACATTCATACATATATCTGCCCAATTTCCACCAGTTGCAAGACACTCAAGAGGTATGGCCGTTATAACTTTCTATCAAAAAGACTCTGTAATTAGGCCCATCATAATCGTTAGCACCAGGCCCAATAAGCTCTTAGTATTGCCTTATCCCTTACTTGCCAGATTCCATAGGGAATTATTGTAATCTGCATATATAATGCCTATAGAAATAGTTTATGGATTAGATGTATCTAAATGTAGAATACTAATACCATATATATATATATATTTAATATAGGATGTTTTCATTTGTTAACGTCTCGTTTCCTCTTTGTACTTAGATGAAGTAGGTGTGACAGGTGCTGTGGTTTGCCATTTAATTAATCCCTGTGGGAGATGTTAGAGAAACAGCCTTTTATAATCAGCCTATAAACATTCCAATTTGTATCATGCCAGCTGCTGATAATTGTTAATGATAGTTACGAGCATTTTAGGAATTACAGACTTGATGCTAAATTAATCTAGATGAATGCTACAAGCATGGGGAATTTACTGGGTAGAGGGGAACACCTTGACAAGGAAATCTTAGCTCACATCACCTCTTATTCATAATAGCTGTAGTGATTTCCTGAAAAGCTCAATATCTTTCTTATTTTTAATTCAATAGCAGGATAGAACGTAATGGAAGACTTCTAATATTAAACATTCTCTGCAAGCTAAACATGGTACTGGCAATCTCAATGTCGTAACTGCCAAAGGTTGTTCTTTAAAAGTATGACACCTAAATGGCATCAATAATACACTATATGGACAAAAATATTAGAATCCTTAATTATTGAATTCAGGTGTTTCAAAAAGACCTATTTTCAAAGTGATAAAAAAATCAAGCACCTAGCCATCCAGTCTGCATTTACAAATATTTGGGAAAAAATGGGTTGTTGCTCAGTGAATTAAAGCATGATACTGTGATAGGATACAATCTTTGTAATAAGTCAATTTATAGAATTTTATCCCTACTAGATATTCAAAGGTCAACTGTAAATGGTATTATTGCAAAGTGGAAGTGTTTTGGAACAGCAGCAACTCAGCCACGAAGCGGAAGACCACATAAAGTCACAGAGAGGGGTCACTCAGTGTTGAGGTGCATGGTGCATAAAAGTCACCAACACTCTGCTGATTCCATAGCTAAAGAGTTCCAAACTACCACTGGAATTAATAACAGCTAAAGAGTTCCAAACTTCCACTGGCATTAATAACAGGACAATAACCATGCTGCAGCAGTTTTGTGGAATGGGTTTCCATGGCCGAGCAGCTCCATGCAAGTTTCCCATCACCAAGTATAATGCCAAGTGTTGGATCGAGTGGTGTAATATATGCCACCACTGGACTCTGGAACAGTGTAAACATGTTCTGTGGAGTGACAAATCATCCTTCTCTGTTTGGCAGTCTGATGGGTGAGTCTGGCGCCTGCCAGGAGGATGTTACCTGCCTGACTGCATTGTGCCAACTCTAAAGTTTGGTGGAGGAGGGATAATGGTATGGGGCTGTTTTTCAGGGTTTGAGCTAGTCCCTTTACTTCCAGACAACACTACGCTTCCAACTTTGTGGGAATAGTTCGGGGAAGGTTTTTTTCTATTCCACCATGACTGTGCCCTAGTGAACAAAGCAAGGTCCTTAACCCCTTAAGGACCAAACTTCTGGAATAAAAGGGATTAATGACATGTCACACATGTCATGTGTCCTTAAGGGGTTTTAAAGACATGGTTGGATGCATTTGGTGTGAAAGAACTCAACTGGCCCACACAGAGCCCTGCCCTCAATCATATTGAACACCTTTGGGATGAACTTAAATGGAGATTGCAAGCCAGGCCTTCTTGTCCAATATCAGTGCCTGATCTCACAAATGCTCTACTGAGTGAATGGGAAAAACTGTGGTGGGGGGTAAGTACATATTATTATCTATGTATGTATATTGTATTATCATAAAAGTCTCTGTTGGTGTAATGGTCAGGTGTCCCGACACCTTTGCCCAATGTAGGAGCACGTTAGACCATGTCTATATAAAGTATAAGTTAGTGGTGTTAAAATTATTGATGCATTTAGCGAGATTAAACATCATATTACAATGTAAAATATTGCAGTAACTCACACACGCCACATTCATACCATTTTCATAGAAAGTATAACTATTGTCTGACCGCTTCAATGACGGGCACAAGATTCTAGGCATAGTACAGACTGTCATGACTTGCTCTTGGACTTTGTATGCATCTGTGTGTAGCTGTTATTTAAACTAGAAAGTCCGGATTAACTTCCTTCTTGGATTCAGTCCACTTATATTGTTCTCATTCTAGAAATTGGTCTTAGTATTGCAAGAGTGCTCATCCGGAAAGTTGAGAACACTACCTAATTTTTTTAGAGAGGTGACCCTTGGCTGTACAACATATGACCAAAGGCAGATCCCCATTTATTGTAGAACTACATCTGCCATAATGATATTCCAGTCTTAAAGGAACAAACTGAAGTGTGGTTTGGACTCAAATTCATGCTTTATTTTTCTCCCTGTTGAAATTTATTCAGTTTTGTTTAAAAATAAAGGGGTTTTTTTATTTTATGTTTTTGCTTCATCATAACTCCACCCCTTTAGCCAAGCCTCCCCTTTTCACAAATCTGTTCCTGATTGTAATGAATGCCTTGTAGCTCAGCCAGTAAGAGATCAGTGTGAACTAAGTTGCTAACTTGGCTCCGCCTCACAGTCAATCACTGCCCTTATCAGTACAATATTTTACTAAGGAGAAAGGTGGTAGATAATATGCAGTGATTGGCTGTGGGGACGAGTCATGTCAGTAGCTCATTTCACACTGACCTCTCATTGGCACCTAGTGACAATGGCGACTGAGGACTCCTTTGACGTTTGGCAACCTCTCCTCAGTAGGGGGTTACACTGGGTCATTAAGATTCATCTCTATTTACTGTATATTCATGGCTATATTTCTTTGATATAGGAGCATCCCCAAACATCTGCAGCTTCTGGTCCTTTAAAGGAAATTATATGTGCACTGGTTTGTGCAACTTTGCATCTTGTAGTGTTGCCTTCATTTCTTTCACTATTTGGCACATGGTTTATCATGTTTTGAGGAGCTGGGTGTAAGGTTAGCAGCACAGTAAATTGGTAATTATAGTTTTATTATTAAGTACTGCAGTGACCCCACCTCTGTCTTAATGTTGTCTAGCCAGTTGAGCTATGTACAAAAGAGGAGTGGTGGCTAAAAGGGTAAGCTTATGCTGAAGAATCCACCAGTACAACAATTAAAATATTTTTTTTACATAATGCTTACTACATGGCTAAGATATTCACCTCAGCAGCTGTATTACTTGGGGGTTTAATGTGTAATTAACAACATTATTACAACTGTTATCAGGGCTGGATTAAGAGCCCAGTGGGCCTGGTGCTGACAATTATGATGGGCCTAATTACAGAATCTCATCGACAGAAAACACTAAAACAATTAAACCTCGCAAGCGTCATGTATATGGTAGAGGTGGTGCTGGATGGGATATAGCACAGGATATAGCGATCAGAAAACACATACCATATGCTAATCTCTCTTTTTATCTTTCAAGTAAATCCATAAACCCTAACAGTGTCCAGTAAAGTTGGATTTTAGTGAGCGGGGTAAAAGTGTGGGCCACTGATGTGAATCACGTAACCAGAACCATCCAAAGAGACAAACATGCTTCAATAAGAGGGCGTGTCTGCACGACAAATTAGATGGTCAGCCTGGCGTGAATGCACGTCAGCCTGCCTGCCAATCATTCAGGATGACCAACCAAGGGCATACTATGCAGACAGCATAAACGCTTCTAATGATGAGCTAGCTCTATGCCTGCTAAGGGCTATCCTCTAGCACTCACTGGTCCACTCCTCTCCTTAACTTGTTACTAGCAGGCAGAAGTTCTGTTAAACGGTCTGGGACAGAGAAAAAGTGTATTTAGTGAGTAGAGAAGAAAGGGAACATGCCACAGAGTTAGAGAGACTGAAGCAGCAAGAACATTTGCATCGTGCGTAAAGTTAGTTTTACCCTAACTAATTGCATTGTCAGCCAGTCCACACAAGTTTTGTTCCCATACATCCCTCTAAAGTTTCCCCTTTTTTTTCTTTCGCAATAACTGGACCTATTCCATAGGCATGGGCCTGGAGCTGCAGCTCCATCAGCTGTTATGTTAATCTGCCCCTGACTGTTATGCTACTGTGGGCCGGACTGGGAGTAAAACTAGGCCCAGTAATTTCATGGCGAATTGCTTTTGCTAAAGCTGGATCCAGTGGCGGCTCTAGACTTTGCTAGAGCCGCCCCCCACTAACACCCATAGTGAAAAAAAAACAGAGGTTGTATTACGTGTGTATAAAGAGTTGTAGTTATATTGGAGGGTGGGATTGCAGTGCTGGATACAAAGAGCTTGCAGCAGTGCTGGACTGGCAAAAAAATTGGGCCCGGGCAAAGTGTTTCATTAATCCACTTGTGCTGCATGGTATTTGTTCTGACCAGCACAAGAGGGTTAAGGACACACTTGCGCTGTGTTTGCTTGTCTCTAGTGTCTCAATAAGTGGGATTTCAGAGGACAAAAGGGCCAGGAAAGAGTATTGTGCGTATGTTTGGAGGTTTCTTGTGGCTTTGTGTGTGTGTAGAGTAAGCTGATTGTAGTGTATTTGTGTAAATACATCAGTTTCAGTTGTTTTGTGTTTGTGGTGTAATGTGTCTGACTAGGGGTTTTAGTGTAGTGTGTAGGTGACATATGACGTGTGTAGAAGCTGTAGAGTCCGTGTTTAGGAATCTTAGTGTGTGTTTTTGCATATAAGGAATCCAATGTGTGCATAGGGTATCTAGTGTGTTGATAGGAGATGCAGAATGCGTGTATAAGAGATGTAGTGTCTGAAGGGCATGCAGTGTATATGAGGCATGCAGTGTGTATGAAGGTTGCAGTGTGTATGAGGGGTACAGTATGTGAGAGGTGCAGTGTGTGAGGGGTGCAGTGTTTGTGTGCGGATCACAGGATGTGTAGATGTGCAGTCTGTGTAAGGACTGCAGTGTGTGTAAGGGGTGCAGTGTCAGTGTTTGGGGTGCAATGTGTTTGTGAAAGGTACCGTGTGTGTTTGTGAGAGGTGTAGTGTATGTGGAAGGTGTGTAGTGTGTGGGTGAGAAATGCAGTGTGTGTGGGTTGCAGTGTTGTGTCTGAGGACTGAAGTGTGTGTGAGGAGTGTAGTGAATGTGTGTGGGGTGCAGTGCCTGAAGAGTGTAGTGGTAGTGTGTGTGTGAGGGGGGCAGTGTGTGCGTGAGAGGGCTGAAGTGTGTGTGAGGGGAGCGGTGTTTGTAAGGGAGGCAGTGTGTGTGTGAGGAGTGCACTGTGTGTGTGAGGGGCAGAGTGTGTGGGGTGCAGTGTTGTGTCTGAGGGGTGCCGTGTGTGAGGGATGTAGTGTGTGTGTGTGTGTGTGTGTGGAGGGGGTGCAGTGTTGTCTCTGAGGGGTGCAGTGTCTGAGGAGTGTAGTGTGTGTGGGGAGTGTAGTGTTTGCGAGGGGTGCATTGTGTGCGTGTGACATACATACATACAGACACACATACATACACACATACATACATAGAGACACACACACAGACACATACATACACAGACACAGACAGACACACATACACAAGACACACATACATACAAAGACATACAGACAGACACACACATACATACAAGGGGGGTGTTGGCTACACTCACCTGAACATGCATAAATGGGAGTGCTGCTGGGGGCCAAATTATACAATACACAAGATCCAGCACACTCACCTGTCCACTAAACAGCAACTTCAATATTGAAAGATTTTTTATTTATTTTTAAATAATGGGGGTTTAGTTACATGATATGATCATACATTGCATAAGCCTGCCACAACGTTAATGTGCCCCATCTTTGGCAGGTCCTACACTAACATCCTAATGTCTGCTCTTATGAGATTAACCCACTTACTTGGGGAAAAATATCCATATGGGGCTCTATGCAGTACAAGGCTAAATAGGGCCCTGGGATGAGGCACCTGTGACAGGGAAGGGTGCAGAACCAAGGAGTTGGCTAGACTCCCAAATATATAATATGAAACAAGGGGGGGTTGGCTGCACTCACCTGAACATGCAAAAATGGGGGTGCTAATGGGGGCCAAATTATACAATACACAAGATCCAGCGCACTCACCTATCCACTAAACAGCAACTTCAATGCTGAAAGATTTTATTTGTTTTTTTAAAAATACCTAATCTAGGCAAAAATAATGGGGGTTTAGTTACGTTATATGATCATACATTGCAAGCCTACACACATACATACAAACAGACAGGCACACATACATACAGTACAGGGTGCTTATTGAAGTAAATCAATAATCAATACTGGACTCAGTGGAAATAGCAAATCTTAAGTGAAAACAAATATAAAATAATCCTTAAATAGTCCTGAAATGTATCAGCTAGTCAGAACTAGCGAACTATTGAAAAATTTATACAACACACAACAATATAAAAGACTAATGATAACAAATTTAAAAACAGTCCCACATGAGAGAGATATGGTATACTGGGTCAAGTAGACCGAGGGTCCAGAGATGTAGGTTACACTCTCATGCCGGCTGGACAGAGGTGAAGGTGGATTTCCTCGTGCTATACTGACACCGTGTATTCGCCGCGTGCATTCCACTGCGGCTGCTGGATGCGTTCCAAACGCTCTCTCTCAGGAGCTGACTGTGCCGGTTTGAAGATGCCGCCTTACGCGTTTTGTGATTCCAAATCACTTCATCAGAGGATGGTATCTGGGAGTCTTCAATCTATTATATACTCTCTTACTCTAATCATATTCCAATTAACCCTTAATTGACCAAAGCACAACGGGCAAATAGAAATATAGATTTAAATTCAAAGTGACAATCAATAAATAGATAAAATACAATCAAATCCATAATTAATAGAACATATAATGATAATGCATTATAAACATACTTGATTTCTACATATATTAATCAAAAAGTAACATCAGATTTATTAGTTGATTGAAGGAATTGGTTGTTGAGAATCTTCGTAGCAATGGATGCATTGGAACATTAAATGCAAACTAAATGTTACAAAGTAAAAATAATAATTAAGTTCATCTGTATGACATAAAGTTAGATACTTGCAACAAAAAGAAACATAGCATGGTAAAAAGCTGGTGTAATGAGTTGATACATGTAGTATTCTTACAAACCATCTGAGAAATAAGATGAGATAAGTAATATTAGGCTATTTTAGATGTTATACCTATTGGAATAAATCATCCCTTTTTTTTCATTCATTAAGTCCTGAGAGTGCATCTCTTCATTTCTGTTTATATATCTTCAACGTGGGATTGCACCTAGGCCAAATTGAATTTTAAACATGAAAGGGTGAGTGCCAAGTAATACTCTTTGAGTATATATATATATATATATATATATATATATATATATATATATATATATATAATCTGTGAGTGCAAATATATATATATATATGCACTCACAGATAAAAATAAAATACACACTCACAGACACATATTTAAAGACATACATGCCCTGGCACATATTTGCAGACACACCTTCATAGATATGAGCATAAAGGAACACACATTGACAAGTACACACATACACATAAATAGCAAAACCTTTGAGTGATGGCAAAATACTAATGGAAATTGGGCAATATGTGTTCACCTGTATCTGCATTTCTGTAAAAGGCGGTCGTCTATTACCATGACATATGCACAGACGTTATTCGGCATGTGCAAACTACACTTAAATAATACACGGACACTGAATATTCTGTTGGAGTATAACATCCACAGCTTTATTAATTATTCAAATATTTAAATTAACAATTTAGGGTCATTGTCAACAGTAATAACTTTGTTCCGCTCCGTCCCCCAAAATACCCCTGACAATGACCCTACCAAAGAACAATACGTACATTATAAATAATACATAACAAATAACACTCGGCCTACCAAAGAGGCCCCACCACATTTGTCCACCTGCAGGGGTGTACCCAGACACCCCTACACCCCTTGGTTCGTAGCCACCGACGGGCTCGAACCTACCAAACACTTTAACTCTGGCCTACTCCAGCCTAGACCTTGGCCTAACACTTTCCTAACCCCCAAAATTCCTGTTTAACCAAGCCCTTTTTCCCCGCCGCTGTGACCAAACGGGAACCAAACCAAAATCTATATGAAGGGAGGGTGGGAGGGACAACTCACAGGTAAGGGCAGCTCAAGTTAAAATGGCTTAAACTTGAGATGGCTGCTATTTAACAGGCTGACACTCCTCCCCACTTAGCAACATAAACCACACCCCTTGACCTACAATTCACCTGCCAACTTTCTGGCCCTGTCAAGGCCCACTCCCCCCCTGCGTTGCTCCGTGGGCTTCATTATTTCAACTTCCTCTTAAAACCTTGCATTTCTTTGCATAGTAAACAAAGCATTTGTTATAATGATCATATTCATGTAAGTTCATGTATTGTCTCTCCATGGTCATGTGGTTGAATGTTGACTTCTGTAGCAAGGGCATGCACTTCAAAAAAGGGCTGGGTTTACATGTCAGGTGAATTCTAATTCTAAAGTGTCCCCTTCTCCCCCCTTCCCCTCTCCCCACCTAAAAAACAAACAAACAAAAAACACAGATAAAGTGAGTGTAATGGATTTATTAACTGGACATTAAAAAAAATAATTTAAAAAAATGTATTAAAATTTGACAACCGAATTTGAATGTATGTATGTATTTAATGCATAGTCCTGTTTGTAATGTATTGTGTTTGTAAATGTGAATATAGTGAGTGTATGCAGCTGTGTAAATTCCCGCAGAGTTAAAGCTGTTTATGGTTAAGGTCAGAGAACGGTTAATTTTAGGTTAGTGTGGAAAGAAAAGTGAGCTCTACGATGCAGGCTTTTTAAGGGAATAACCCTTGGTAAGAAGTGTTTTGTTAAATTTAGAACATTGCCTACAGATATAGACACCAATGAAAATAAGAAATGAAATTTTGAACTTGTTTTTTATTATTATATTTAAAAGAAAGATAAAGCTATAAGTATCACACAGTGAGAAAAAGGTACTATCGTGCTAATTGTATATAAATCGATAGACCCTATGGGGAAAAAGAAAAAGAAAAAAGAGAGAAATATATGTATGTTTCTAGATTCTAGTTTACTTCAGTTGTGTTGTCAATCAGCCAAACTAACGGTAAAGGTTAGCAATAAATGTATCTTGTACTTGCTACTTAGAAAAAAAATGCAAAATGTAGCAAAGAACATGTGCAATCAAGGATAGTGACAGAAGTAACTGGTTAAACTAGAGTATCAGCAGGAAAAACATATACTGTATTAGATAGTCCTTAATGTATTAACCTGAATGCTATGGAACTCTCAAGGTTTAGCTTGATTATTGATACAAGAATACTAAACTATGCCATCGTGGGCACCCAATTAATAGCAGGTAAGCTGAATGATTATTACTGGAGTACTAAACGGTGCCTTCGTGGGCATTTAACTTGTAGCAGGTACTGGCTGTGCAGCCCATGTGAATATCTATGTTGTGCCTTCAAGGGCACCTATTATCTGTTGTTATAAGTATCTCAGACCCAGTACAGTTGATGCTATCCTAAGCTCGAACTGCATACCTAACTGCATACCTAAAACAAGATAGCTTGACGTGTAGCTTAGTAATTGTAACGAGAGTGGTAAACTGTGCCTTCAAGGGCACCTAATTTGTAGCAAGTACTGACTGACAAGGCTTAGTATCAAGCTGTCTAAGAGTAAAAGAGTACCTATGCTGTGCCTTCAGGGGCACCTATTAGCTATAATTATAGGTATAGTACACTTTCTGCTATACTAAGATGAAACTTAGCAGCTAGAGACAATATATCTCTTAACGTGGATAAGATAATTCTGATCAGGTAATACTGACTCGGAAGCAGAACGGCTGCACTTCAGTCTCCTAACAGTATCATCCACTTAAGCGGATTGAGGGGGAGATTAAAGTATAGAGAAAACCGACATGAGTGAGCTTCTGAGATGAGCCCCGACGCGCGTTTCACAAGGTAGGCTCTTCAGGGGAAATGACTCCCCCTCCTTTTCTTACCCCTATTTTTGTGTCATTTTGACTAATTTTTTTTGTTTGAATATTTTGTATGGACGATATTCAGATGAGCTGAATCGACTCATGAACAAAATGATTCGGCCGATTCAAATTTTTCTGCCATGCCCAAGTCTAGTATCTACTACTTTCCCTGAAAATTTATATTTTCTTTAACCTCAATTATTTACTTTCCAACTATCAACTTAGAGAAATGCCTTTTACTGGTTTTATTTGTTGGATTTTGAACTTTGCCACTTCATTTAATCCCCCACTAATACCATTTTAAAACAAGAAAAAAACATTTTTTATTTTTAAAAAATAGTTTGTTTATGAACCCTAGTCACACCTCCCTGCATGTGACTTGCACAGCCTTCCATAAACACTTCCTGTAAAGAGAGCCCTATTTAGGCTTTCTTTATTGCAAGTTCTGTTTAATTAAGATTTTCTTATCCCCTGCTATGTTAATAGCTTGCTAGACCCTGCAAGAGCCTCCTGTATGTGATTAAAAGTTCAATTTAGAGATTGAGATACAATTATTTAAGGTAAATTACATCTGTTTGAAAGTGAAACCAGTTTTTTTTCATGCAGGCTCTGTCAATCATAGCCAGGAGAGGTGTGGCTAGGGCTGCATAAACAGAAACAAAGTGATTTAACTTCTAAATGACAGTGAATTGAGCAGTGAAATTGCAGGGGAATGATCTATACACTAAAACTGCTTTATTTAGCTAAAGTAATTTAGGTGACTATAGTGTTCCTTTAACTGTTTATTTTTTTCTACAATATTTTTACTTTGTAGTGTGTACGGGTCTATTTTTATTACAGTAAAGTTCAGTTGCAGTTTCACAGCACATCCCACATCTCCTTTTATTTTATTTTTTCTACCAGTCTGTATTGGCCTGTGTTCCCCGATTATTATGGATGTTATGTTTGGTTTACATGCAACTAACTCTATGGTTTATTCTCTTTGGACGTGTTTCCTGTTGGGGTGTGTACTTCCTTCCTGTATCTCCTGAAACATGGCTGCTATACACTAATAGCTTGCAGTGTCTTTGTTTATATCTCCTGAAACATGGTGTATGAAGTGGGATACCTACACGTCCTTGGCCGATTGTCAGCATGGACTTATTCAACTATGCTGGAAAAGAGTACCTGCTCTTAGTTGATTATTCAGACTTCTGGGAAATTGAACTGCTTCCTGACCTGTCCACTGAAAGTACAATTAAGTGATGCAAGGCGCAATATGCACGTCATGGCTAACCAACTAAAGTGATTTCTGATAATGGTCCTCGGTTTGCAAGCTTATAGTATACTGAATGGGAGTTTGAGCAAGTGACTTCTTTACCACGTCATCCACAAGCTAATGGCAAAGCTGAATCTGCTGTGAAAATAGTGAAGAATTTATACGAAAAAGTGATGGTAAAAACCCATGGAAAACCATCTTACATTGGAGAAACACTCCAACAGAGGGGATGGATAGTAGTCCGGCACAGAGACTGATGTCAAGGAGATTAAGTTACCAGTAGCCAACAAGCTACTGTGATACAAGGTGTACCAGAAAAGTTACGACTTAAGAGGCAAGTCTTCAAGGCTAGATATGACTCATCTTCTAGGGATTTACCTGAACTGAATATTGGTGAACAAATCCATATGAAACCACTTCCGGGAGATCGAACAAGTCGCTGGAGAATGGGAAACAGTCTGCAAAAGCTTGCACCACGCTCTTATCTTGTGGATATCGAAGGAACTCTCTACCGATGCAATAGTGTGGGTCTGCGAGTGGTCGATAAGCCCGATTCTCAATATCCAGTTGACAAGCCAGACACACCTGGTATTCCGAGGACACACTCACATGTCGGCAGTAAAGAGTGTACAGAAGTGATACCAGAGACAAGTACTAATGACAGCCCTGAGCAAGCAGGACCTGACAGCATTCAAGTTCAAAACATACTAGTAAGTGGTGGGAAGAGTCCAGTAACCTCAGAGAGGGCTAAAAGACTATTTGCACAACCTGGACCAGTCTTCACTTGTAGTGGCAGACATTCACAACACCTGAGAGACTTAACCTCTAAAATGTTATTACAAGGACAGTGTTTCACAATGTTGATTTATTAATACTAAAAGAGGGAGATGTTATTGATGTTATGTTTGGTTTACATGCAACTAAGTCTATGGTTTATTGCACATGTTTCCTGTTGGGGTGTGTACTTCTTTCCTGTATCTCCTGAAGCATTGTCTTTTTTTATATCTCCTGAAACACCGATCCCCAACACCATTTTGATTTCTCAGATTTTTCACTCCAGGTCTCTTAGTTGTTCTCTCTGCCAGACTCTCTTCTCCCTTTCTAGCTGTGTTTTTCCACCCAACATCCATCATTCATCCACTTCAGTTCACCAACCTCCGTTCCTCTCTTTCCACTTGTATATCCTCTGTCTCTCCACCGGTCTCCGTTACCTACCTCGAAGATGTGTGACGAAGGTTGTGTGTATGAATGTGTGGCAGTTTTCGTGTTATTGTCATAGTTTAGAGTTAAGGCACTGCATGTGTGTGATGGGCATTGTGTGTGGTGTTAACTGCATACATGATGGTTGTTGCGTGCATGACTTCATCTGAGTTATGGTAGTTGTGTGTGGGAGGCTGCTTGTGTGTATAACAAAGGTTGTATCATGGTAGGGCGTTTGTACAAGGAAGCACAATGCTTCCACAATTTTTAAATAAGTATCCAAGCCTTATTTGCATGCTAGTAAATGTGTAAGAGTAGCAAAACATTTTTTTCTCTTATTTTTAACTCTGCCTCTGTCCCGTCTGATATTACCTGCCTTGTTAGATACCATCTTGTATATGTCACTTTGTTTAGCAAATATTATTATTTTAGTAAATAATATTTCGAAGTAGTGAAAGGGCGTCTTCTTGAGCTTTTTTGTTTTCTTACTATCTCGACGTTATGAGAAATATTTTTCTTATAATCCAAGACAGATACAGTAGCAGATATTACCTGGCAAAATATTAATGTGATTATTTGTGTCTTTAAATATGGAATGAGTTATTTAACTCTCTTGGCAATATTATTTCTAGGCCTCTATTACATCGTAATATTTGCATCTACCTGATTCATGATCGTTGTGCCTTGTGGTGCTTTATGCTGCACTCTAGAATAAACATTTAATTGGAATAAATGTTCAAAGGTCAAAATCTGAACTTTTATCAGCATCTGGAAGTGACATTACTTCCTGCTGTGTGATGATAAAATGCACACCTTATGTCCAATAAAAGCACATAGCAAGCCCATTTCTTACTTGTGTGTACAGTGACCTGACTCGTGAAATATGCCTGCTTGTTTGCATGTTATTTATTAACCCCTTAAGGACCAAACTTCTGGAATAAAAGGGAATCATGACGTGTCACACGTGTCATGTGTCCTTAAGGGGTTATAGGAACACTATAGTCACCTAAATTACTTTAGCTAAATAAAGCAGTTTTAGTGTATAGATCATTCCCCTGCAATTTCACTGCTCAATTCACTGTCATTTAGGAGTTAAATCACTTTGTTTCTGTTTATGCAGCCCTAGCCACACCTCCCCTGGCTATGATTGACAGAGCCTGCATGAAAAAAAAACTGGTTTCACTTTCAAACAGATGTAATTTACCTTAAATAATTGTATCTCAATCTCTAAATTGAACTTTAATCACATACAGGAGGCTCTTGCAGTGTCTAGCAAGCTATTAAAAAAATCTTAATTAAACAGAACTTGCAATAAAGAAAGCCTAAATAGGGCTCTCTTTACAGGAAGTGTTTATGGAAGGCTGTGCAAGTCACATGCAGGGAGGTGTGACTAGGGTTCATAAACAAAGGGATTTAACTCCTAAATGGCAGAGGATTGAGCAGTGAGGCTGCAGGGGCATGTTCTATACACCAAAACTGCTTCATTAAGCTAAAGTTGCTCAGGTGACTATAGTGTCCCTTTAAACTGGGACTTGTGGATAGATAATAATGTCATTTGAAATTTTACATCAAACTTGTTGAGATGGAAAAATAGCTGACTTGGAGAGTTATTCCAGTTCGGCTATTTTGATCTTAAATAGGAATTCTCTTAGAGATGTCTCAAGCATTAGTTTTGCACCATGAAAATAACAGGATTACTTTGTAAGAGTCACACTCTGTCATCGGTCGGAGAGTAATATTAATTTAATTTGATTGTGTCATGGTTTGGTTGCAGGGTTTTCCACTCACATGTTAAATGATAACCAATGTTATAAACAGGAAAGTAAGTGCATTTTTCTCTTTTTTTCCTCTTCTTTACAGACACTGTAAAACTAGTAGGTCTTTTGTGTGCTTCCGTGTGTGCCTGGTATTTGGGATATCTGTTTGCAGAGATATTGCCAGAGGACTCTATTCAGACTGCTATTGGGAGTATGCAGCAAGTAGGAATGCGGCCAGTATTAAAAGGTAAGTGGTCGTTGATTGATGGCTTAAATAATGTTGCTGTATGGACACAGATTCAAACTCGAACTTTCTAACTTCTAACTTGAATACAATTTACTAAATAAATAATAAGCCCTAAATGTCAATTTCATCCCTAATCTTAAATTCTAAATCTACTCGTAAATACTAATCAATAAAGTCACCAAGACCAATTAATCTCAATGACGTGGTCTGGGTGCAGTGGTATAAGAAAGAGGGAGTAAGAAATTAAAGTGGTGTTGGGCAGCAGTAACCAATACAAAGATTCCCGTCGTTGTGGGAGTTAGAGTATAGAAAAAAAGGAGGAGGAGACAGCGCCCCAAGCAGTATAGGTTAAAAAATGTATACGTACACAAATCTTTTTCAGGGTTATATATACAATTTACCTCAAAAACAAAAGAACATAGGGAGATAATAGTGCAATATGCTATATTCAGTGAGTTAGGGTGCAAGTGCTTTTATATGGTATCACTCACATTTGCCAGAGCTAACACAGAGCTCAGCTGTTAAAAGGCGTGGACGGAACAATCCCCATCTAAGGATATGTATAGAAGTTGCCGTCTTTGGTAGTCTCAGGCAAAGTGCAATATGCAGGTCTTATAAAAAGACATGGAGAAATAATACAATAGTGAAGCAAGTACATATAGGTGTTAAATAGAAGTAAATAAAGTAATGTACTCACATTTACTGGAGCAGAACTCGCTCTATTGTATACAGCATGGGTGGTATAATCCCCACCTAGGAATATGATGGTAACCAGGAAATAAAAGTCGAAGGTATATAGTAAATTTTAAAAAATTTAAAATGTACCATTTATTGACAAAAACAATAAAAATCTGTGTAGAAAAGAGTCCCACTTTACGCGTTTCATCTGTGGAGGCTTCTTCAGAAGTGTGGGTTAAGTCCTGGTTCCATTAGTTTATATAGGCAGTCTATTAATGATGATTTTATCCTGGTGTGTACAGGTATAATTTCCTGTTTCCTGTAACCACTATTGGAACACATGCATCACACCAGAAGTTTAATGGAGTAGTAATCTATGCGTTCCATTGTGGAACGCAAACGGAGCCAAAATGGTGTCGCTGCGTGCCACTCTGCAAATGCCGATATTGGGTAGTGGAAAAAGGTTTTAAGTCCATTAACCCCTTAAGGAAGCAGGACCTCTGACTTGTCATGATTCCCTTTTATGCCAGAAGTTTGGTCCTTAAGGGGTGTAGCGGAGAGCTAGTATTGCATAGCCTATCTCCACTTTAGATCCCAGTAAGGCTCAGGAACAAGTATAATAAATCCACAGAGTAATAATTCCAGCAGGCAAAAAGTCTCCAACAATATCCCAGACGAAATCCCAATGACTGGACGACACACAGCATCAGGAGCAGAACTCAAGATTTATTCACAGCAGCTCCTTATAAAGGATTCTCCCATGCAAGGGAGGGATTTACAGGAATTACAACAGTAACCAATGATACAGAGGTTCCCTCCCCTACTTTCCCTCCCCTCAGAGTGACACTTAATCCACTTAATCCTGGCACCTTTTCCCCTGTTTCTTGGATGTACCCCAAAAGTGGCATCCCCTGGTAGCTCTGGTCTGGGTGACTAACATACTCAAAATTCACACAGATCAGACCAGGGGTTCGGGAGTTATAGACAATAAACGATTTGACCGACCGCACACGAATAGGTAGCCGAAAGGAGTTCCATGTATTATGGCCCTGCGGTCGGTCTTTGTTCGGGAGATGAAACAGACAGAAATCCTTGCCATCCATAGATAATACCGGGTTCGCACGAACCCCCTTGTTCGGTATATTGAACTCACCGAAAGAGGAGTCGATTAGCCCCTCCGTTCGTGAGTTCTGGAGCTCTGGAGGTCTCAGCGGTGTTCGCGCTATCGAGTGTCTGATTTGGGTTCCAGACACTCAACGACCAAACACCGCTGAGAGTTCCTGCGTAAGATGGCCGCCTCCACGTGTTCGTCTACCGAATCGCGGCCACCCAGATACAGCAATAAAACCTCAATTAGCTGCGGTTAAAAAGGGAATAAGGGTTTAACTAGGGACACACTTCGTCTCTATGGTGGTCTATGCATTCGGTAGTTTCCATTCGTATAACTATGAAGGAAACTACCGAACTAACATACGAACTTAGATACAATTTTCAATGTACATTCAGTAAAAACAGGCGACCAGTCTTTTAACATATAATTCTGACGGACAGTCACAGGCCATCCGCTACAAGGGGTTCATCAAGCGATCATTAAATGTGTATACAGTTCACCTTGTGTAAATCAGTCTGAACATCCGGTGGAAGTAAAATATCACTTCATTTCTTCTGTGTCAACAGTAGTTTTCGGCCATGTTATAAGAGGGCAAAGTGTGGGGAAATAGAGGGATGGAGCTTAGTAGTTGCAAAAGTATATAATTTTGACGACCTATGTTATTTAAATTCCAACATTAGATTAGTTATAATTGGTATAGTTGATTAATTAAACAGACATTAATGTGCATACATCTATGGATATAAATTTAAATAAATAATAAATGAAATTTGGGTCTCAAATTAATAAAAAGTTGGTAAAGAATTGGAATTTAAAAAGCACAGATAGAATATACAGTATTTCTGTGCATATGGTGACATACAGCATACAGTGGTTGTATCATTTTTAACCCTGCATAATATTGCTGGTTTGTAGAAACTGGAACGTTTACATTGCTGGCTAAACACACCTCTGGTGGCTGTCTTCCTGACAGCCGATAGCGGCATTTCCTCCTCCAGAACTGAGTGAAACTTGGTCCTGGAATCATCATCAGCATTGATTGGACGAGTGCGGTGCTGTGCCGCGCATGCATTCTCCAATCCATTGCTTCTGTATGAGAAGTAATTTGTTGAATTGCTTCTATGAGAAGCAATGAGTTGGACAATAATGCGAGGAGGCTTGTCGCTAGAAACTAGGTTTATAAAAGTTATCTTTAATTAACTCCGCATTTACTGAGCAAAGGGTGGGTGGACAGTGATCACATGACTGCAAAGGAACCTATATTCTCAATATAATGATTGAAGTTTTTTGGGAATATAGGTTCCCTCAATATTATCTCTAATCTTAAATTGTAACCCTAAATCCCAAATGCTATTACTAATAGACTTATAATTCTAATAGACTTCTGCTTTTTCTAAGCAGAAATATTTTATTTTGTGTCTGTTGATTTTTATTTCTTTGCTAAAATGCCAAGCTAGACACACTAAGCACTACAATGGTTGCAGGAATTCCCTGGCACATCCCATAATAAGTAGTCAGGCTGTTTTGAACGGTTGGATTTCTTAGGCCTCCATCTGTGAGATATCTTTAGTGGAAGATACTTATTCAAAATAAAATAATCAGTTCCATTTTATATTGACAGATACAAACAAGCTTATCATCTATAAAATGAATTGGCTGAGAATGCCAGCTGATGAATTCCATCCAAACATGGGTAGAATTGGTGTCACTAATGTGAAAGTAGGACATTATATCAAACATGGGGGCCATGCAAAAATGGTTTGGCTACTTACCATTGGACATGACTCTGGAGTGGTTGTAGTGGAGCCTAGACTGCCCCTTTAAGAAGAAAAATGACGTGATGTTTGAAATTGGTTACATCTCTATGGACAGGAGATTCGATTCTGTTCATTGTTGCTTTTATAAAAAAAAAAAAAAGAATGTTGTATAAGAAACATGATCAGGGTTATTCAAAAGAATTTCAAAAGTTAGGCTAAAGTTGCCAAACTGGAAAAATTCCACTAGTCAGCTATGTTTTCATTTCACTACTTTGGCCAAACATTAGAAATTCACTTGGAATTTCTATTGACTTCCTGACAGAATATACTTTGTGAATAAAAAGCAAAAAGAGGTTTTGTCTCTATATCCAAACTTGTTGGATTAGAGACAGAGGTCAGTATGGTGGTATAAGCTCCACCTACGGGCTTGGACCCTGAAAATGTATTTTAGTCTTTTGATACACATGGCAGTATTTGAGCTGTGGGGCATTAGACCTCCAACACATTAGAATTATCTGGAAGGAAGTTATTTAGCTGTTAAGTATTTTTCTGTTCTATTTATGTATTTATAGCAGCATTGGGTCTCCCCCTTGGGGCTACTCTCCCTCTCTGTCTACCAAATTACTTTGTGATTAACCCTGAATGAACACTATTGATTGAGGATGCCATTGCCATTCTCCTTGTAGTCTGACTGTAAGCCCAAGTTACTTGCTGATAGAAGTGGCATGAATCAGCATAGGGGCAATAAGCGCAATGATAGTTAGCGGTAACCTACTTTACTAGGGGCTTTTTGCCATTGAAACAACCTAATCAGTTCTTGCAAGTTGCACGGCATCATGTTACAATATTGTTTTTTGTTTTTATTGCACAGCTCCAGCCCCTAAGAAACAGAAGTGTGGAGTATGGACTCCTTGTCCAAACGATGAGCTGCCCTATCTTATGCGAAGCGGAGGTGGAAAAGATGTGAGACCCATAATCTGCCTGAACGATGAGTAGTAAGCACACAGCAATATAGGGGGAAAATGGCATTTGGAGAATTTTCTTCTCTTTTTTTGCTTTTTTTGTTGGGGTTTTTTTGGGGGGGGGCGGGGGTTTACATTCTATTAAAAAAAATGCATGAATATCAAAATGAAAAAAATAAATCCTTTTAGATAGATGAAAAAAAAATCTTCATTAACTGATCCAGAAGAATGCAAAACACTTGGATACACCAGAAAAATTCCCTCCCGACCCTGAAAAGGCTATCAGCTATAAATCAGAATTTATATGTAGAAATAAGAAAACCTATTGTAAAATTAAACAGACCCCCTTCACCATTTACTAGGAAAAAGATTAAAATGAAATATTTCTCTGTCTCTAAACATGCTCTCTCTGATTTCACTTGTGTTCTCTAATCTTTCTCTTTTTCACTCTCTCCCTAAACTTTCTAAAATCTTTCTTTCTAACTCTCTCTTTCTCGCTATTATTGCTCTCTAAACTCTTTCTCTCTAATCTGGCTGTTTCTCTCTAAACTTGCTCACTCTCTCTGTCTCCTTTAATCTCACTCTCTCTCTATCTTGCTCTCAATCTAGCTCTCTAATCGATTTCTACCTCTCGTGATCTCTTTGTAACCCACATTCTCTAATCTTGCTCTTTCTAACATAATTTGTGTGCATTTTAGCTACCTAGGCGGATCAAAGCAAAACGGTGACCGAGGAATAAACATTGTTGTCATTAACCGTAAGTGAAACACTTTTGCTCGTATTTACTAACTTGCTTTTTTAACTTAAACTTATTTTTCTATTTATAGTAATGTTAATCCAATGTATAACAATTTAAATTCATGTTTAGCAATATAAATTCTATTCATAGTAATGTAATTGTTATTTTTGGTAATGTCAGTGCTATATTATACCATTTATTCATATTAGTAGCAATCTTCAGTTAGTATATATTTAGGGGTAATGTAATAACGGTTTAGGCCCAGTGGTAGGAAACCTTTGGCACTCCAGATCTTGTAAACTACATCTTCCCTGATGCTTTGCCAGCATTATGGCTGCAAAAGCATTATGGGTGATGTAGTCCACAACATCTGGAATGCCGAATGCTGCCTACCCCTAGGGGCTTATGGCTGGGGGAGGGAGTAGAGTTAGATGAGTTGGGTTAAGAGGACCTTACACTGTACTGTCGATCACTCTAAGACAAATTGAGAACCATAGCCATTACACTCCAGCGCATCTTGCTGTAAGCATGTCAAAATTTATGTATACAAAATGCGTTGGGAAATTGCCATTATTCTGTCTCGCTATATTTATGTATGTTTAAGTTAGTCATAATTTGTACTTCCAGCTGTCTGAATGGGTAGAACCTGAATACAGTTTAAGACATTACTATTTTGTGTGTAGTTGCCTTATAATCAGTTGATATATATTGATATATATATATATATATATATATATATATTTTTTTTTATCATTCTTTATTGTAGATGATACTTGGAAAGCTACAGATACAAAAACGTTCGATATGTATGAGGGAGGTGAGTACTCTGCAGGGCTCCAATTTGGGGGTGTCCACAAGTTAGAACCCAAGTTGTTATAAAACTACAGATCCCATGAGCCATTGCTAACCCTAGGTCTGATAACAGATCACAGGAGTTTTCTATCGGAGCTGGTAGTTTTCCTTTGTTCTAGATGTCCTTGTTGCGATTTATGGAAATGTAAGTAAAACTTGAACAATTGCCCCAAATTTGTTCAGTTTCAGATAATTTCCAGTTTTTTTTTTTTTAAGTCCATGTTTAAAAAATACAAGTAAAATATAAAATAATATTACATAATAAATATATGAACATAGGAAAAAAAATCTAATATGGACCATAGTTCAGGTTCTTGTAAATCTATAAAATGTAATCATGTTTAATACATGCTTTACGGCTACATGTGAAAATGCAAAAGTAAAAAAAAAAGGTAGTGTGCTAAACTGTTCAAATTTATCAAACTGTATTTTTATTAATTTATATATATAAATATATATTTATAAATGGAAATGACTAGAACAAAAAAAGTGTGCAGTATAGATGCACTTAGAGTTGTGTGTTTCTTAATGAGCAACAAATATATCAGTTTGTCATTGGACAACTATGTTATCGACTGCTGGCTCAGTAGTTCTACTGCTATCTATTAGCCTATAATAAGTCCCTTTACATTTCTCGTTCTGTTTCCACTCATAGAGTTCTCAGGACCAATGGTTGAATTTATTAAGAACATTCCTGAGAAATCTCTTATCATGATTTCCAGCCATGACGATGCCTCTACAAAGTAAGTCTGTGCCAACAATGGTTTTACGTATGATGTCCAGCTTTTATGTAGCTTGTGTTGATTGAAATCAGGTGTGGAGCTTGGGCCATATGCTGGCAACCTATAGTGATTGGAAACCTTGTATGGCCCTTCTGTTGTTATTGTTATTTAAGGAACACTCCAAACACCATAACCACTACAGTACACTGTAGTGGTTATGGTTCCAGGAGTGCACTGGTGCCGACCCACTCTAAGTAGTGAAGGAGTTTTACAACATTTTTACTTCTTGTCTGGTATCCACTTCCTCTTGGCTTCCAGGAGAGCCAGAAACTCCTACCTAGGAGCTTCTGTTAATTTTTCTGATTTAAGCGTTGCCGTTCATGGTTAGCTAACTATCTGAGAGTGTCAACTGATCACTCTCAGTCAATGAGTTAAACCCTTCACAACCAGGCTTAACTCAGTTAACTGAGTCTAGTGGAGTTGGGGAAAGGTGCCTCAAGTAAGAAGAACCAGGATACTTTAGGCACCATGACTACTATAGCACACTTGGAATTTAGTGATTTTGGCACTTGGAATGTTTCTTTAAGAGAAATTGGGATCTTATCTGTTTTTAGGAATTTTCTGCATATAATTTAGGCCTAATTTTCTGGACTTCTGAATAGAAGCAAGTCTGAAAACATAATTCCATAGAAATATTTGTCCAAGTCCCTCAAGCTTTCACAGTTCTGTCGATGCTTTTTCTGCTAATCAAAAGAATGTGAAAACCCCAGTCAGAAGCGATTGCCATTTCAGCCACAACAAGGGCAAAGTCCACTTGACTTCATTATGATAATTAGATTTCTACTTGGATCAACAAGTTGTTCCCACACAAATGAACTGTTATATCCGACATAAACACAAAAGTACAGTACTAGAATGAAGGACTTTGAAATAACTTTACGGAGCTTGGGTTCCGTTTGGGTTCCGTTTTTGTGATGCCAAATATGTGTTCCATATAGGTCACCCTGGACATAAAGCAACACAAACATAATTAGAGGTTTTATAACATGTTAAAATATGTGAAGGCTATATTAGTCCAAATATTTAAATTTTTTATTTCTGTTTTCTGCATATCTAATGAGGTGGTCATTAGATATGCAGGCCTTCTTTTCACACCTGACCCATCAGTCACCAGTGTCACCAGTTCTAAGTTTGACTAGACTTCTATTATTATAAACCCGTATATAAACATTTAGCAATGTATTTACACATGGTGGCAAATTAATCCATGAATACAAACCCAGTTTGGTTGTTTCAGAGGTGATGCAATATCGTGATTAACGTGTTACAATGTTTAGTGTGTAGCAGATGGCAATCGCAAGACTATTTATTTTATATTATAATACGGACAGTCTGGGAAACGATGTACAGGGGAAAACTAAATAGTTTTTAGGTTGTATTTTTAACGATTATGTATCAGATGACTATGCAATGCACCACCCTACTTATATGACGGATCCTTGGTTTCAGGTTATCTGAGGATGCAAAGAAAGTATTTGAAGCTCTTGGGAGTAAAGAAATACGTAATATTAAGTTCAGGTCAGCCTGGGTATTTCTCGCAGTTAAAGGTGCAAAGTTACCGGAGTATTTGGAAAAAGAAAAGGTAAGAATTCTTAATTCTTTTGTACTTTTTTAAATTAACGCATAGTTTGATTATTTTTACCTGTCTCCTCTTTCCTTCCATCTTACTATACCATGATCTTAACCACCCATATATTGTCAGTGGGATAATGGAGCTGAAATCCCTTACTTTTAGCAGGCAGGAATGCAAAACTTTCTATCATTCTAAAACAGTGTGGCCTTCAACCAAGTTCTCAGAGTCCACCAACAGTCCAGGATTTAGACATTTTGCAATTCTGTCCCTGTACTGGACAATTAAAGGGACATTCTAAGTAACATGTCCATCACAGCTTGGTGCCATCCTCCGGTTTTATGTATGAACAATTAACATTGTTTTTCCCTTTATTCGCTACTTTCTCTCACTTGATCTATGAACCAAAAAGGGGGAAAATGGGCCTATCAGTGTACTGCAAAATATATATACATGATAATATTTATGTTATGTATATATTTTGCAGTACACTTATTGTGAACTCTTTGCTTTGACTCATTCATTTTCCTGAAATATTTTTCAAATTTGGCTGAGCCAAACTAATATATGGCTGAAATTCAGACTTACCAACATTTTTGTAGTTGGCCAAAACAAATTGTTTTACAAGTCTAATGGAGATTGCCCTTCTTATAGGCATTGATACACTTCATAATTACGAATTTCAGTTCTGTCCAGCCAATCACCTTCATCCTTCATTCAGAATTACAGGGGTAAATGCTAACGTGAGAAGTGCCATCAATTCTAAGGGAGAATTAAAAATTTAAGGCCAAAGTAGTTGACTTTTACTTTGAATTCCTGACAATTCTCACTTTAATAACTAACTCTGTCTATCTTAAGTCCTCATTATAAATGTGGCAGAGATGGGATTGTTTGCGGGATCCAGAGAAAACTTCTTTTTTGACAATCAACTCCTGGATTGCTTAATATAAAGCCGGAGGGTGACACCCACTGGCGTACATACCGTGGTCGCAGCTGTATGCCAGTGTGGCCAGCCTCTTCTCCTGGGGGGCCCAGGAGCTGGCCACCTCAGGGTCCCCCGAGGCTGGCAGTGGCGTTACCGGTCGCGCGTGCGAGGGAGCATTCTCCCCTGAGCGCTCTCTTCCCAGCTCCGTCGCGTGCACTGCACTGATGCTGGAGCCGGAATATGACGTAATTCCGGCTCCGGCATCAGTAACCGGCGCGCAAGGACCAGCCGTCAGGCAGCCCCACTGGACCCCAGGGAATACCCTCAGCACTCCCAAAGAAAGGGAGGCTGGGGGATTAAATTAAAAAATCTATAAATATATATATATATATATATATATATATATGAGTGTGTGTGTGTATATGTGTGTTAGTGTGTGTGTGTTAATTTTTGTCAGTGTGTGTTACTGAGTGTGTTAGTTTGTGTGTGTGTGTGTGTGTGTTACTGTGTGTGTGTGTGTCTCTGAGTGAGTTAGTTTTTGTGTGTGTGTCTGTTACTGAGTGTGTTAGTTGTGTGTGTCTGTTATTGAGTGTGTGTCTGCTAGTGTGTCAGTGAGTGTGTTAGTTTTTGTGTGTGTGTTACTGTGTGTGTGTCTGTTACTGAGTGTGTTAGTTGTGTGTGTCTGTTATTGAGTGTGAGTGTTAGTTTGTGTGTGTGTGTGTTACTGTGTGTGTTACTGTGTGTGATAGTTTGTGTGTGTCTGTTATTAAGTGTTTGTCTGCTAGTGAGGGTCAGTGTGTGTGTGTGTTAGTGTGTGTGTCAGTGAGTGTGCATTCAAACCGCCCATAGGAAAGCATTACTCAGTGCTTTCCTATGGACGTCCAGCGTCTTCTCACTGTGATTTTCACAGTGAGAATCGCCGAAGCGCCTCTAACAGCTGTCAGTAAGACAGCTACTAGAGGCTGGATTAACCCTCAGTGAAACATAACAGTTTCTCTGAAACTGCTATGTTTTCAGCTGCAGGGTTAAAACTAGAGGGACCTGGCACCCAGACCACTTAATTGAGCTGAAGTGATCTGAGTGCCTATAGTGATCCTTTAAGTGTAGGTATACATACCGCAGACCAGGTGCCCGCCGCCATGTGTTGCGGCCCCGGCCCACGCACAGTAACCGCGGGGGAGGGAGGGGCACGGATCATTTTTCGCACCGGGGCCCCAGGGATCGTGTGTATGCCACTGGTGACACCTATCAAGCTCTAAATCTTATGTTGCTCAGAGTTTGGAAGCTACTTTATTTCATTGAAGCGGTCTTGTTGCAGTGTTCCTGTTCCTTTAACACTGTAATGTAAAAACATTGCTGCTTTAGAGAAACTGCAATAATAACATTGGAATGTTAAGACTGCCTCTAGTGGCTGTCTAGGTGCATCCCGCAGTTTCACAGAGTTTGACCAAGTGAAACAATGCTAGACAACCTCACACTTTGCATGAGGAGACCAGCGTGTTGAAAAATCCCATAGGAACGCATTTAGTCAATGCTTACCTATGGGAAAGATGTAGTGTGCAAGCAGTGCTCGCCACACATGCGCATTAGGTTCCCCCATCAGCTGACATCGACGAAGAAGGAGCTTGACCTAGTGACATTGGCGCTGGAATCAGCTAAGTGTTTACAGGGCTATTTATTTATCTGGGGAGGGGGGGGGGGAGCCAGGGCAGAGAGACACTATGGCGTTACTAATACAGCTTTGTATTTGGAACACTATAGTGTTCCTTTAATTGCATTCAGTGGCATTTTCTACATAAGGATGCAGTTATCCCTGTAATGGTATTAAACCCTGCCTGTCCTATATTTTGTATTTCCCAGCATGTATAATGAGGCACATATTGCTTGTATATTTGTTCATACATCAAACACTGTCACCTAGTGGTCAATTGATGTAATTGATTGTTCTCTCTCTTTGCTAATCATTTTTCTATTACTTCCATTCAACTCAGGAAAGGCTGCCACATGTATAAGATTATCTTTGAACAGATATTAGCCTGCCACTGGACCCCAGGGAAGCCACCCTCTTGTACTCATAAAGTAGAAAACTGGAGGGTTGCTTTAAAAGTGTACAGTTTGCATTTGTGTCATTATGTCTGTGTGACTGTCAGTATGTCTGTTTGCTTGTGTGTCAGTATGTCTGTGTCAGTATGTCTGTCAGTGTGTGTTATGTCTGTCAGTGTGTGTTTGTCTGTATGTGTATCAGTATGTCTGTTAGTGTGCGTATCAGTATCTCTGTCAGTGTGTTTGTCAGTATGTCAGTGTTTGTCAGTGTGTGTCAGTATGTCTGTCAGTGTGTATCTCGATATTCTCAGTATGTGTGTATGTGTTTGTGTGTGTGTATATCTGTGTATATGTATTTAGTCAGTGTAACTATGTTTCTCCATGTAGTCTGTGTGTATCTGTATATCTGCATGTGTGCCATTGTGTGTATGTTCATATGTTTTAGCATGTGTATATGTATTTGCATGTGTGTCAGGTTGTGTATCTGCATGTCTGCATGTGTGTCAGTTTGTGTATCTGCGTGTCTATGTGTGTTTCAGTGTGTATATGCATGTTATCATTGTATGTATTTGTGTATCTATATGTTGTCAGTGTGTATATGTGTGTATATATCTGTGTGTTTATCTGTGTATCTGCATGTGTGTGCATCTGTGTGCAGGGCCAGACTGGGAAAAAAATTTGGCCTGGGCATTTTTCAATCACAGCAGCTCCCTAAAGGGGCGGGGCCAGAAAGGGTTTGTTTTGTCATCACTAATGACAAGCACACCCCCTCTCAAAGTGAGCATGTTGGTTCAATGCGCAGAGCCCTGCTGAAGAGCTCTAGTATGAGAAAAAGGCCCTGTATTTGTTCTGCGCAGCGCAAATGTAATTACATGCCTGTGCTATGTTTGCTTTTTACTTGTCTCTGGTGTCTCCACAAAGGGGATACCAGGGGACAAAAGGGCCAGGAAAGCGTATTGTGCATGTGTTTGGAGCCTGCTTGTGGGTTGCGTATGTGTAGTGAGCTGATTGTGGTGTGGTATTGTGTAAATAGGGCGATTTCATTCGTGTTTGTGGTGTAATATGTGTGGCTAGGGGCTGCAGAGAGTGTGTGTATAGGGGGCATAGTGTGTATAGGGGATGTAGCAAGTGTTTGCATATGGGCTGCAGTGTGTATGTGTATAGGTGACGTAGTGTGTGCAGGGGTTGTAGAGGGTGTGTGTTTAGAGAATGTGGTGTGTGTTTGCTTACATGAAATGTAGTGTGTGCATAGGGGACCAGAGTTTGTATGTCAGGAATGTAGTGTGTGTAGGTGGTGCAGTGTGTGTGTAAGGGATCTAGTGTATAAAGGTCCCAAAGTGTGTATCGGAGATTGTGTGTGTGTGTAGGATTCAGTGTACTCAGGGTAAGGGATCTAGTGTGTATCTAGAGTGTAATGTGTGTAGTGGTGCAGTGTGAGGGGTGCTGAAGTGTGTAAAAAAAAAAAAAAAAATATATATATATATATATATATTATGTGTTTGGATGTATTTTATGTGTGAGGGTGCAGTGTGTGTGTGAGGAGTGCAGTGTGTGTGTGTGTGTGTGTGTGTAAGAGGGGTGCTGTGTGTGTGTGTAAGGGTCTTCTTGTCTACTGTCACATTCTATGTTTCTAATTTTTTTTGTCTGTTAACTCACTGAAGGTTATTTTATATTTTATACATATACGTGTGTGTGTGTGCTGTATATGTGTGAGAGTGTGTTGTGTGTGTGTGTGTGAGAGTGCTGTGTGTCTGAGTGTGCCATCTGTGTGTGTGGGGGGCTGTGTGAGTGAGAGTGCTGTGTGTGTCTGAGTGTTCTGTCTGTGTGTGAGAGTGCTGTGTGTGTCTAAAGGGTGCTGTGTGAGTGAGGTTGCTGTGTGAGTCTGAGGGTACTGTCTGTGTGTGAGGGTGATATGTGTGAGGGTGATGTGTGAGGGTGATGTCTCATACACAGCACCCTCAGATACACACAGCACCCTCAGATACACACAGCACCATCACACAGACAGCACCATCACACACATTCGTGAGGGTGATGTCTGTGGGTGATGTGGTTGTGTGATGGTGCTGTCTGTGTGATGGTGCTGTGTGTATCTGAGGGTGCTGTCTGTGTGAGGGTGCTGTCTGTGTGTGCTGTTAGTGTAAATCTATTTTTTAAAATATGTATTCTTTTTTTATTAAAAAAAAAAAAGTTATATCCCCTCCCTTTCTTACCCTTAGCCTGAGAGGGGGGAAGCCGTGTTGCCATGGAGCAGGGTTCTGTGCTGCCTTCCCTGGTGGGCTAGAGTTCACTCTTGTGAGATCTGATCGTTGCAGTGGTAACCGTGGCAACGCTCAGACCTCGAGAGACGAACCCGCCTGAGCTGCTGGCTAGAGCAGCCCGGTTCCTCTCCTGCCTCCCTCCCCTCCCAGCCGGTGGCCACATATCAGTGCCTCTGGGCCAGTGAGGGAGATCTTTGATCTCCCCACCGGCCCACGAAGGCACACAGCAGGACTGGCACTCGGATAGCGGCGGCTCTGCATGGGCCGGCTGGGGAGATCCTGTGATCTCCCCTGCCGGCCTCTGCCCACGGCAATCGCAGCCCACTGGGCATTTGCCCGGTATGCCCAATGGCCAGTCCGGATCTGTCTGTGTGTCTGAGTATCCGCATTCAAAACCCCAACACTACACACAAGTACACCCCTGCATTCAAACCTCAACACTACATAAAAAAACACTCCTGCATTGAAACGTCAACACTACATGCAAACACACCTCTGTGTTAAACACCAAAATTATATAAAAACATACCAATGCATTCAAAAACAAACACTACAAATAAAGGTATGCTTGCATTCAAATGCCAACACCACATACAAACACACCTCTACATTCACACAAACAGACTCCATACAAAACATGCTTGCATTCAAACACACAAACACTGCTCGGTACTAAATACAACTCTGTAAGCATGGGAAAATGGTAGAGCCCCAGCTGTCAAAGCATTGTTGGAGCTGCACGACATATGGTGATCTATCTTTTGCCCACCATTGTGATTGGGGCCCCAAATAATTATTGCACCATAGCCCAGAGTGCCCTTTAATAATATAAACCCACCCAGTATAATCAACTGTACCCTAACCTACACAGTGCACCTAACGTGTTGGAGCCTGTAAAGTTCCTTTAATGATATGAACCCACCCGGTATAACTAACTGTAACCTAACCTACACAGTGCATCTAACAACTGTGGGAGCCTGGAGTGTCCCTTTAATAATATAAACCCACCCAGTATAACTGTAACCTAACCTACACAGTGCACCTAGCATGTGTGGGAGCCTGGAGTGTCCCTTTAATAATATAAAACCACCCAGTATAACTAACTGTAACCTAACCTACACAATGCACCTAACATGTTTGGGAGCCTGGAGTGTCCCTTTAATAATATAAACTCACCCAGTATAACTGACTGTAACCTAACCTACACAGTGCACCTAGCATGTGTGGGAGCCTGGAGTGTCCCTTTAATAATATAAAACCACCCAGTATAACTAACTGTAATCTAACCTACACAATGCATCTAACATGTGTGGGAGCCTGGAGTGTCCCTTTAATAATATAAACCCACCCAGTATAACTAACTGTAACCTAACCTACACAGTGCATCTGTGTGTGTGAGCCTGGAGTGTTCCTTTAATAATATAAACCCACCCAGTATAACTAACTGTAACTGAACCTACACAGCGTACCCAATGTGTGTGGGATCCCAGCTTGTCCCTTTAATAATATAAACCCACCCTGTATAACTAACTGTAACCTAACCTGCACAGTGCACCTACCATGTGTGGGAGCCTGGAGTATACCTTTAATAATATAAACCCACTCAGTATAACTAATTGTAACCTAACCTGCACAGTGCATCTAACCTGTGCGGGATCCCAGATTGTCCCTTTAATAATATAAACCCACCCAGTATAGCTAACTGTAATCTAACCTACACAGTGCATCTAACGTGTGTGGGAGCCTAGGTATCCCTTAAATGTTTTAAAAACCCACCTAACATAACTGTGACCTACTCTGTGCAGTGCACCTAACAGTGTGTCTTTAGAGCTGGTTTGAAAACTGTTTTTATTGTATTTTAACTTTTTAATTTTGTTTCACAGATCAACCATTCTGAGAACAACAGGAATCGGTACAGCGGCTGGCCATCAGAAATACAGATTGATGGCTGTATCCCCAAAAACTAAACACCCCAGTTCTGCTCGGGTCCTCGATTTTATACCTACTTCAATTACACGAAGAGAGGGAAATCAATGGAATAAAACTAGACTGACATCATGAATGAAAATCTTCTGATTTCAAAGGCTTTAACACTGCAAGAACCTATTGCTCTTCAGCAAAATATTTACAAAAACTCATTTTCCATTGAAGATGGTTAAGGAGAAAAACTATTTTTATTCTGTTGTTGGAGGAGCATTACCTGAGTTTTGGTTGTATAGCATGCTGTATACTGCAGGAGGTTTGAGGGTGATATTATATTCACTACTGACCATTCCACATTATTTCTGCTATTAAGTGCAAATGTCTAGCATGGTGCAAAAATGGAATACATGAATAATGTTTGATATGTGCACGTGTACACTAAACTCACTTATCGAATGTTACACACAGATTGAAGTATTTTCTATATTGGCGCCCATCCACTGCAAATCCCTCAATCCCAAATACGTTAAAATACTTTAGGTGAAACTTTGTATCTGCTTCTAAAACTACGTGCTTTGATTTTGGGCGAGATGGGTGATTTGAAATGTTCATTTGCTAAACTGGTTTCTTTTGTTTGGAAACTGACATAGGTAGGCCCAACGCAAGAGTAACCCATAGGAAAACCGGAACAGTGGGTTGTCTAAGCTTGGTCTGGGTCTGGTGGCAGGATGAGTGCAGATATAGCCAGTTGTTGTCTGAAAACAGCAACACTACCCAACTCATACAGCAGGGCTCTAGCATTGGAGTTAAATAAGTCTTGGGGATTACTCTATGCACCCGTTCCTCCTTATTATTTACCCCTGTCCCTTGTTATCCTTCCCAATACTGTCTCTTAGCACTGTTCCCAGCCCTCCCTCTCTAACTCTCCCTCTCTCTCTTCCCCCTCTCCCTCCTCCTCTCTCATATTCTGTTAGTCAGTCAAAATATCTGTATTGCTGAGACGAGTGCAGGTTTATTTACTAAAGTGAGAATTCAAAGTGAATTTTTCACCTTTAAGGTCAAAAAAGCTGAACTGGAAAAACATTATCGAAGTTAACTATGCTTTCACTTTGGCTAGTCTGGCCTTAAATTTGAAATTCACTTTGAATTAATTTATTTTGATGATGAGAGAGGCTGACAGCACAAGCTTTTTGTGATGTTACATTCAGATAATATAAACATGAATATTCCTTTGGTCCAACAGAAAATTCCAGAGCATTCGTATGTGGCATATCTTAATATGATCTGTGGCATGCAGTCAAATACACAGAGATACCGTAGATTAATTAAAATAATGTATATATTATATCTCTATCTGCCCTGTGACTTCAAAAATTATAGATGGGCTTCACCGCTTTTTGTAAATACAAATGGGGGTATGGACAGCTATTTGTGCATATTGGAAATAAATATAACCGCAAACTTCATATGTGTGTTATCAAAATGCAGAAATATATAAAAAAAAAATAATTAGCAGAAATTATTGGTAAAAAGCTACATGAAAGATGCCAGCATATCATCGGTTGTATTCTTCTGGAAAATTTATATTTCTATGTGGGTTATATGATCTGGGTCATTGACAGTGACGCACTTACACATAGGGTGACTTGACCCGGGTCTTGCAATCAGAGCCTAGAACTCTTCCCTTGGTGCATAGCCCCTACCTTTTCCCATCAGTGATCAGGGGAGGGCTGGCAGCCTTAGGCCTGGAGGGGAAACCAGTCAAGTGGCCCATTGCACCACCAAATCAGTTCACCATCCATGCCTACCTTTTCCTGGTTTTATAACGGATATTGATTTTATGCTAATCAGTAGCTCTTTGCCATACCCGCTCCTTAACGGCTCTCACTTTCAATGTTGTCAAAGCGCAGGCTGAGAATCTCTGAGCCTGTGCTCTGACTCACTAACTGAGCGCCCGAACCACGAGGGAGAAGATATAACCTGACTGCACCTACTGCTGGTGCACACCAGTGGACCACCAGCGAATTGTTTAAATTGAATATGCTCGTGTCCCCAACTTGTGAGCTGTGTTGGCCGCCGGGCGCCTCTATTGTCATGGCACCCTGCGTGACCGCACAGCTTGCACACCCCAACGGCTGGCCCTGCTGACACACACTGATGTTACTACTTAGAAATCCCTCAATATTGATACAGACATCAGAGTAAACACCAATAAAATGTGGAAACAGAGCTGACCCCCCAAATTTATAAAGATTTGCTTAGTGGATTTGTTGTAAGATTAAATCATGCCTCCTCCTCTCTCTCTCCCATGCGCTGCTCTGTAGGCTGGGAGGAAGTGAAGAGTAATCACATTCTCCCAGCACAGCGCCACCTGTGGCTGCATGGGGAACAGCTGGTTAATGGAATGCTTGAAGGACGGCCAACTGCCGCAGAACCTCTTTGTTCCCGTCTCTGCAAAGGGCTCCAGGCACTGCTTGTTGTGAGTGTGAGCCACTGTAAATTAGGGGCAGAGGGCACTTGCGCTGCGGTAAAGACGGCAGGAGGAGAGTGCAAGGCAATCAGTGCACTCCCCTCCTGTGGGCAGTGGTGTATCCTGGTTTTGTGCTGCCCTAGGCAGGACAAAACTCAGGCGCCCCCCTCCCCCCCGCGCCACCCCACCTTCTAAATACACACACACACAGTCAGACACATACACAAACACACACACACACAGTCAGACACACACACAGACACAGTCAGACACAAACACACACACAGTCAGACACACACACACACACACATACACAGTCAGACACAAACACACACACACAGTCCAGACACACACACACACACGTTCAGACACAAACGCACACAGTCAGACGCACGGTGAACACAAACACACACAGACACACACAGTCACATACACACACACAGTCAGACGCTACGGAACACAAACACACACACACACAGTCAGACACACACACACATTAACATTTTTTTCCAATTTTAAATCCCCCCCAACCTCCTTACCTTTGAGGTGCACAGGGGGGGTGGGGGAGAGATACTCTCTCCCTAATTGGTCCAGTGGCTGCAGGGGCGTGTGGCTGGCAGGCTGAGGCGGTGACGTGAGGGGCACTTCCCATGAGCTGACTGCTCGGCTCCTGTGGCGTGGGCTGCAGAGTGAGCTTTGGGGGCGAGGAGATGGCGTCATCTTCCCGACCACGGCACCCTCGCTGCCGTCTGGCGAGGGAGCTGAGCAGTCAGCTCATGGGAAGTGCTCCCTCGCCGGCCGCCCGGGATGTCAGTTAGCCGCAAGGCTAACAAGGCATCTGCCCTGGGCATTTGGGGGGCGGCGTTTTTTGCCGCCCCCTGAAAAATGCCGCCCAAGGCAAATGCCTTGTTTGCCTCGCGGCTAATACGTCCCTGCCTGTGGGTCACCAGTAGACTGGTGCACCTGCCCAGGATCAGAGCTGGTGCAAGGATTTTTGCCGCCCTAGGCAAAAGAAAAATTTGCCGCCCCCCCATGTGACATCACAATGCCCCACCCATATTATCTGCCATATGAACTAACGCCAGTGCTGCACACAGTGTGTGTTTACATTAAAAAGCCTGCAGGGACCGGCTATAGACACCAGAACCACTTCATTAAGCTATAGTGTCCCTTTAATGTGAGGTAAATTATAGATTAGTGTCACTAATAATATACTAGATTGCCTACTTACAAGCAGATGAGGATGATGATGGGCTGCAGTTTGGCTCCACTGGTCTGGTGTAGAACAGGATCTCTGGAGACTGTTTGCAACTGTGGTCACAAAATTCAATGTTCTGGGAGAATTGGAAGCAGCTCCATTTTTTTTTTTTTTTGGGCCTCTTACACAGCTCAAGGTCTGGGCCCCAGGGCCTGACAGTGAGGAAGTCCATAAGGCCCACTCATAAGTCCACTTATATGTTCCACCAACCCATGGGTTTGCTCACAGGGAGTGGAGTGTGTATGGGATGTGTTATGTGTTATTGTAGAGGATCTAATATGTGTGCTTATGGTATGTGGTGTATAGGGATACCAGTTTGTGTAGGTGATGCAGTGTGTTTGTGTGTAGTGGAAGCAGTGTGTATTTGTGTATAAGGGATGTATTGTGTGTTTCTGGTTGTGTGTAAGGGATGCATTGTGTGAATCTGTGTTTGTATGCATAAGGGATGCAATGTGTGTGTCTGTATGTGTGTGCATTGAGTGTGCGTAAGAGATGCATTGTGTTTCTGTGTGTATATAAGAAAAGCAGTGTGTGTGTTTGCATGTGTGTGTAAGGGTTTGCATTGTGTGTTTCTGTGTATGTGTGCAAAGGATGCATTGTCTTTTTGTGTAAGGGTTGCATTGTGTGTGTAATGGATGCATTGTGTGTTTCTCTGTGTGTAAGGGAAGCATGTTTTGTTTCTGTTTGTGTAGGGGTGCATTGTGTGTTTCTGTGTATGTATAGGGATGCATTATGTGTGTGTGTGTGTGCGTGCGCGTAGTGTGAAAGAGCTCCCTGTCTTGCCCCCTGTCCTGTAGAGCTGTCCCTTCTGTCCTTTAGAGCTCTCCCCTGCCCCTTAGTGGTCTCTCCTCTCCCCACCCTCCCCTAGTGGTCTCCTCTCACACTCACCCACCCTCCCTGTGCTCTTCTCATCCCCCCCTCCACCCTCCCTGTGTTTTTCTTACTCCCCCCCATGTGTTCTCCTCAACCCTGTGTTCTTCTCACTCCCCCCTACCTGTGTTCTTCTCACCTCCCCGCTCCCTGTGTTCTCCACATCTCCCTTTCTCCTCACCCCCCTCCCTGTGTTCTTCTTACCCCCTCCTCCTTGTGTCTTCCTTACCTCCCCCCTCCCTGTGTTCTCCTCACCACCCACCCTCCCTGTGTTCTTCTCAGTCCCCCGTGTTCTCCTCATCTCCCCTTCTC